GACAGCTGACATCACGAACGGGCTTCACACTTTGAGCCTATGAAGGGAATCAAATCCATGCCGTTGCCATGACGAGCAAACGCTTTAACCACTGGGCTACCCCTCCGCCTCTATACAAGTGGTTGATAGTATGAACAACAATTCACTCTGTACATGAGACACAATAACAAAGTCACAGTAGGATGGTCTCCATGGTGATATGCCTTCACCTCCAGCCTTCTATATTACAGACAGCCTTTATGGTAATCCACAATTTCCTTGATTGGAAAGTTCATATTTTATCCCTTCATCTGCAACCATGCCAACCCCAAGCTGAAGCTACAGAACACTGCCTCCATATGTGTACCACCAGACTCACCCAGAGCTCACACGGCCGGTATGCTACATATTAATCCACTCCAGCCAAGTTCCATAACAAAGAGGAGAAAACTTTCCTAATTTCTCATTATAGACTTGAGATAAGAGACTGATGTAAACTATTGACGGCAACGAGTATTTTAGATCTGTTGCCAAATTTTCCTTGGAATTTGTCCAAATACCTGCAAGACATGGGTCAGGACGTGCCAAATACACACACCGGGCTCCACCTGCAGTTTAGGCATCTAACCTCATCCAGCACGTCGTCACATGATGTTGGTGGTTCATGTAAACATCTTCCCAATATTTCAGTGTAGATGTGTCTTTGTGTTGCATCATGGGATTTTATTATCTTCACTCAAGGAATTGGAGTGAGTTTGGTTAACACTGCTTTGAACAGTATTGCAGTTATATCACTGCGTGTCAGCTTAATATGGGAAGATACCCTGACGTGATGCAGGCGTTGACAACTTTGGTGAAACCCGCAACAAACCTAGAAATATAATCGGGGTGAATCGGGATTCAAACCCACAATAATATCAGCATTAGACATTGGCAGTACTCCTATAGTCCTAGTCAAACTGCCCGTCAGTAAAGTTTCCTTAGGACTAGTAGAAATTTGCCCTTTTAAAGGGCTTTGCTATATGTTATCACTATGAGGACTAGTGGACTAAAACTGTTAGTTTCTGTCGCTGTAATAGGTTTCTGGTGTCCCCAAGGGGCACAACTGTGATCAGTAAGTTGCAGTGTCTTAGATGCCTGGGCCACCCCTGTCTCCAGTATAACCCACAAAACCAACAGCGCTGACATATTGTCATGATCACAGATAACGGATTTGAACCAAAGATTATGGGTTTACAGACAGCCTTTATGGTATAGTTACGCCAAAGGGACACAACTGTGGACAGCAAATTACAGAGCCTTTTATGACTAGGCCACCCTTGCCTCAAGGAGTTTGAAGACCGGTTCTTTTTTTCCAAATTGTTATAACTGAGAGAAATGCTGATTCCAATGTCAACTTGATCTCAACCCGATCCCAAATTTGAAATACATGTATTCAGGTACACCATCTACTCTCCGATGCTTTTAAAAAAACCCAACTAAAACATTCCCCTTGCTAATGGAAACGATACGCATTCTAATGATATACGAAACAGGTGTGGATAACATGCAGAGCCAAGGACACGTAAGACAAGGCCACAACACACTTTTACCATACGATATCTAAACAACAGGGTGAACATGAAGCCTAAATCAAACTGTGGTTTACTCTGCTTTGCTATAATGGTGATATATCGAAAATAAGACCATTTTCCCAATGTAACAATCTGCATCAAACTGCTGTAGACATATCCAACATACAACCCTTGTACAAGACTAAAATTGAATAGGAAATTGAACCAGGGCAAGTTAGCACACTACCTACAGGGCTACCTTCTACTTCCTGTTCTATTTTCTAACAATGGACAGTGATACACACAGGCTGTGGTGTTACATCTTTCAATTAAAGAAGTACTCAAAGAGGTCACAGGTTAAATACATGTATAATCACACATACTCCAGGGATCTCCGACATGATATACATGTATATACACACATAATCCAGGGATCTCCGACATGATATACATGTATATACACACATACTCCAGGGATCTGTGACATGATATACATGTATATACAAACATACTCCAGGGATCTCCGACATGATATACATGTATATACACACATACTCCAGGGATCTCCGACATGATATACATGTATATACACACATAATCCAGGGATCTCCGACATGATATACATGTATATACACACATAATCCAGGGATCTCCGACATGATATACATGTATATACACACATAATCCAGGGATCTCCAACATGATATACATATATATACACACATACTCCAGGGATCTCCGACATGATATACATGTATATACACACATACTCCAGGGATCTCTGACATGATATACATATATACACACATACTCCAGGGATCTCCGACATGATATACATGTATATACACATACTCCAGGGATCTCTGACATGATATACATATATACACACATACTCCAGGGATCTCCGACATGATATACATGTATATACACACATAATCCAGGGATCTCCAACATGATATACATATATATACACACATACTCCAGGGATCTCCGACATGATATACATGTATATACACACATAATCCAGGGATCTCCAACATGATATACATATATATACACACATACTCCAGGGATCTCCGACATGATATACATGTATATACACACATACTCCAGGGATCTCTGACATGATATACATATATACACACATACTCCAGGGATCTCCGACATGATATACATGTATATACACACATAATCCAGGGATCTCCGACATGATATACATGTATATACACACATAATCCAGGGATCTCCGACATAATATACATGTATATACACACATACTCCAGGGATCTCCGACATGATATACATATATATACACACATACTCCAGGGATCTCCGACATGATATACATGTATATACACACATACTCCAGGGATCTCCGACATAATATACATGTATATACACACATACTCCAGGGATCTCCGACATGATATACATGTATATACACACATACTCCAGGGATCTCCGACATGATATACATATATACACACATACTCCAGGGATCTCCGACATGATATACATGTATACACACATAATCCAGGGATCTCCGACATGATATACATGTATATACACATACTCCAGGGATCTCCGACATAATATACATGTATACACACATACTCCAGGGATCTCCGACATGATATACATGTATACACACATAATCCAGGGATCTCCGACATGATATACATGTATATACACACATACTCCAGGGATCTCCGACATGATATACATGTATATTTACACATACTCCAGGGATCTCTGACATGATATACATGTATATACACACATAATCCAGGGATCTCCGACATGATATACATGTATATACACACATAATCCAGGGATCTGTGACATGATATACATGTATATACAAACATACTCCAGGGATCTCTGACATGATATACATGTATATACACACATACTCCAGGGATCTCCGACATGATATACATGTATATACACACATAATCCAGGGATCTGTGACATGATATACATGTATATACAAACATACTCCAGGGATCTCTGACATGATATACATGTATATACACACATACTCCAGGGATCTGTGACATGATATACATGTATATACAAACATACTCCAGGGATCTCTGACATGATATACATGTATATACACACATAATCCAGGGATCTCCAACATGATATACATGTATATACACACATACTCCAGGGATCTCTGACATGATATACATATATACACACATACTCCAGGGATCTCCGACATGATATACATGTATATACAAACATACTCCAGGGATCTCCGACATGATATACATGTATATACACACATAATCCAGGGATCTCCGACATGATATACATGTATATACACACATACTCCAGGGATCTCCGACATGATATACATGTATATACACACATACTCCAGGGATCTCTGACATGATATACATATATATACACACATACTCCAGGGATCTGTGACATGATATACATGTATATACACACATACTCCAGGGATCTCCGACATGATATACATGTATATACACACATAATCCAGGGATCTCCGACATGATATACATGTATACACACATAATCCAGGGATCTCCGACATCATATACATGTATATACACATACTCCAGGGATCTCCGACATAATATACATGTATACACACATACTCCAGGGATCTCCGACATGATATACATGTATAAACAATCAACACACAGGCAACACAGATTATATGAATAGCACAACAGACATGTTTTTGAGAGCAGGAGCCACAATATATACACTTTGATACATACACAAACCTCTTTATTAATACCTTATTCAGTATTTGCATGAAAGTGGGGTTGATTTCATGCCCACAAGTCTTAATTTCTCACCTTTGCCGTATGCAATATGTCCTTCAGCTAAGATTAATATAAGCCCCTTTTTTCAATTTCAAAAATACATAAACTAGAATATCCATATGCATAAACACAAAGGCATGCTATATAAATATGTGCATTAAAATTCTACTTCTATCTGTTTAAAGGAGACACCATGTCCTGTACAAATACTTACACACAAACCAAGCAACAGTCATAATATGCTACAAAAACTCAAAACAAAACTTCAATTGTGAAAAATGCTCTTGAAAGCTTAAAGCTTGGAATGGAAATTTATCAAGATGCAGATCTAATGCGAATCTAATGTCGCCATAACCTACATTTCACCGAACCATATTCTCAACTGATCATAAAAAAAAATGAATTATTGAAGTGAACTTTACAATATAAAAAAAACATAAAGCTGTTAAACAAAATTGAATCTAAAGCAACTATAGAACTTTGACATATGAGAGATATGACGTATTCAAAATGTTGTGGCATATTATACAACGGTTGTGTAAACGTCCCTGATACAGTTCACGCACAGCAATCTCAGTACACACACAACACACACAACACAACACAACAGAAAGCTAGGGATCTAGAGATGGGTGTTACACCACACTATCAACTTTACCTCTTCCATTTCAGTTTGCTATTGGAGAAGGAAACAGGAGGATGGTGAGCTACATACTTTAATAAAGCAGGACTTTCAATTAACAGATTATTGTGGAAAAAAATCTTCTCAAACCATGCTTCATAAACACATCTGCATGAAGGTAAGGCGGCTCTTGGAGACCAAAAAATGGGTAATTCCTGATAAAAATGGTACATTTTTTCCATTCTAATGATTAAACATTACGTAATATTCCCTGATCACATATCCCATACCTCTTCAGTATTATTGATATGAGGAATATACAACTTCAATCCACCTGCTAACTGATTCATATCATGGACATGTATTTATCAAACTTATTCAATTATTTGCCAGTAAAATATTTCAGTAATATCAAAATATGACTTATTGAACATTTTACATAAGAGTTGTATTCAAGCATGTATAACTGAGAAAAAATCTTAAGGAGCTATTTCTGCGCTTCTGCTATCAAGTCTCCAAGAGTTGTCTCCCTTGTCTGTAGTAAGTCTGATAAGGCTTCAAGATCACCAAACAATGTTATCTCGTTCCGGGTCTCATATTAGTACTCTGTAGCCTATTTGTAGTCCAACAAAGTCACACAAATGCTCTACTTACACAAAAAAGAATCAATGATGTTTCTTATTGTTAAATCAAGATTGAATTTTTTTAAATATTCCAAATGAATTTTGTCTTTTTTTTGGTTCTTGTTTGTGAATATATCCTATACCAATGCTACTCAACATTGACAGGGACATTTATGTAGGTTCTAGATTTACAGAAACATCTCTATGAAATGTTGAGCGGTATATTTCCCCCCTACCAATGGTTAAATACTATAATGATACATGAAGTTGATATCAACTCATCATTATTAATGATATGAGGAAATTATATCTTATCTCATCCCAGACTTTTATCCCCAACAACTTAGAGATATAACATACAATAACCATTCTGAATTATTCTTGCATTAATTTATTAAAGAGGCAGAAAACAAAAGTATATCATCCCAATAACTTAAATCATGCTCTTAATGCAGTTGTTTGTTTAGCGTTTATGTTATTGATCAGCATACACTTGTTTACTTACCCAGAATAAACAGGTGCCCTATCCACTGGAACGTTGTCTGGATCGAAACTGGTGCTGAACGATGAGCCGCTGTATGAGCTGTATCGAGCTGCCTCCCCCTGGGGAGCTGTGCCCGTCTGGTAGCGGTTGTCAGGGCGCGTGGCATAGGCAGGGGCGTAAGCAGAGCTTGTGATCTGTGCCTCCATATAATCCTGTTGGCAGAGAAATCGGTTAGTATATTTTCGGGCGGCCATTTTGAAACTATGAAATGGTAATTTTTTTTGTTAACTTTCATATACTGAACACAAACAATTTTGCTGAAAAAAATTAGTAAGTTGATTAACAGTCATTTTAGAATTATTTATGAGTGCACATGAGAACCATTTGAAAAAATAAAATTAAAAACAACAGATAATATGAATAAAATACAACATATGCAAAAATATGTGCACCTGAAAAAAAGGTCTATTGATACTGTTAAAACAGGACTAGGGTCTGAGAACCATGCAGCTACATGCAAACACCAGTGGAAAACAGAAACATTTCAAACATGAAACTAGTTAGACATCCGATTCAGCATCCACTGAACCTATTCAAAGTAAGTCAGTAAGTCTGTCAGTAAGAGTCCCCTGATACGGTTGTGAATGAAATCTTAAATAGCAATATCGCCAACATCGCAAACGCGGAAGATATCATAAAACACTGCCTTATCATATATATTTTCCCAATACATTTTTTCTATCTGTTATTCAGAATGGGAAATGTTTTTGTGTAAGAGTGATATTGGATATGTGCCTCCACAATGACGTAAATGAGTCACTTCTTGTGACACTCGAGCTGAGCTCTGTTGAACCACACGTTGTTACAAGCATTTGGAAAACACAGCTAATTCAAACGATATTAAGTATCTCATCCAAAACGTGACTAAACCAAGATTATACAGCCAGGTTTTAGTTTTTACATTGTAAAATGATCTGTTATATGAACCATTTGACCAACAAGCGTATTGTGAAGAACACAAAAGTTGAGACTGAGAAACTATTTGTGAAAATGTAGCACTGAAATTCAGGTAAATGCTGACAATAATATATTGTTATGTCAGCACTTTTAAACTTTAAACTAAATTCTAGTTTTTATATATGCATGGAACTGTGCAACTACTTTTCTTAACACTGACACAAAGTTTGGACCACTGTCATTCTGCCACAGGCTGATAGAGGATGTCAGCTGGTATGATGTTGTAAATCACTATCAGCTCGAGCTGTAGTGCAGGGACACTGATGTAGAAAATCTAATAAAAGTCCATTTGACAAAGATCCAGCTTCATATATCAATATTAATTCCCATTTTACAACATTTTGCTTACGGCAAAGCCAAATAGGACAAGTGCTGCCATGTTTGTTAACCTGTGACCAGAGGGAATGTCACTGTACGTTAGAAAGTGACGAAAATTTGCAAATGCACATATTTTTATTCATTTGCTCAAAATGTAGCACACTAATATAGAATTATGATGTTTTCTTATAGATGAATGTTTTATCCATGAACGGCCCATAAAAAATATTTTTAAGTTGGAAGCTATAAATCATACCATTATAAACACATTTATAGTTCCCAATCAATCCCAATCAATCACTGAAGTCTTACACAAAGGGTCAGGATATAAATATCATTTTTATGTCTTAATATGAAGTTTCAAAAACAACTCTACTGATTATCCTACAATCCATTCACCAATATTAGTTATGTCATGGTCATACATTGTATATCACTGATGTCGTCATGTACACTTTGAAAGTTTACCTCTTTGTGAGACACAGAGTCATCGGGGTATTGTTTGAAACTTTCGTTAAGACTGCTTGTACCAGAAATATCGCCTTGGTAAACGACGTCGATGTATTTAGGTGAGGCAGGGGAGAGCGCCTCCACCGAGTACGCCGAATCACGATAGATTGGCGCAGCCTCTTTTCCAAGTTTAATGGACTCACGGGCATATAAATCCTCGCTGAACATTAAATCTTGTTTCTAGTGCAGGAAAAAACAAAAATTGTTAGACACAAAAACAAACAAAAAACATGAAAAGCAGGGTCTACCACTAATAAAAACCTTCAGCTCAGGTAAGTAATTTTGCACTGAATAAAATGGTAATAAATCTTTCACACTGAAAAAAGTTGTAATAATTCCAAAATTTAAACAAGGATATAGGTGTAAAATTAATGTTTTGTTCTTCTTTTTTCTTTCCTTTCTTTGGAAATATGGAATATAATGACATCTGAGAGATGTATCAATCTTCTCCATGTTGAGAGTTGAAAAAGTATATTAAACTTCATCTTGATCAAAACTCACAACTTGGCATCATATACTAAACATGTAAATATTTTACGTTAAAAACCGAAAACTCTTTTCACTGGAGGTTTTTGTTAATAATCATGCAAAAAAAAGGCACAACATGAATGTAACATTCACAATTTCATCCTAAGAGCTGTCCAAATTGCAACCTGTCAGTAAAATGTGACGAGGCTCAATCTGATCATGGTCCAACGTCCCATCATGGTCCAACGTCCCATCATGGTCCATCGTCCCATCATGGTCCAACGTCCCATCATGGTCCATCGTCCCATCATGGTCCAACGTCCCATCATGGTCCATCGTCCCATCATGGTCCAACGTCCCATCATGGTCCATCGTCCCATCATGGTCCATCGTCCCATCATGGTCCAATGTCCCATCATGGTCCATCGTCCCATCATGGTCCATCGTCCCATCATGGTCCATCGTCCCATCATGGTCCAACGTCCAATCATGGTCCATCATCCCATGATGAGGAAGAAGTGTAAACAAAACTAAACTAATAAATCTGGAAAAAACAGGGTCTCATGTTTCCTTCACGGAACTAATTTTGCCATATTGGTTGCCTTCCAAACAAATTGCAATAATTTCCACTTTTCTGAATTTGAACGTGGAAAGTCAAAATTCACATTCATACGTTTGAATCAAATATTTTTGAAAATATTGTTTGATGATGAAAGAGATAATTGACACATGTCACTTTCTTTCTTTCCAAAATATCAGAAAAAAATAAACATTTTCAACAAGGAATATGTTTTCTATCTACATCTACAGGGGTTTGAAGGGTTAAGTCAACAACATCAAAACATACCTCATGCAACAACATAGAAATTCAACCTTTCAGAAAACAATACCATTCCACCGTGTGCCCGCAGTGAGTTACAACATATACTGGGACATATCAACATAACCACAAAGGTTGTCAAGCTACGAACCCCAATATCCAGGGTCTACAAGACTACTTCTGAATGAAAGATGGCACTTTGAAAAGTCTAGGTCAAGGTGAAGGTCATTCTGAATGGCGTGGGTGCAGACACTTACTGCTGCCCATGCAAAACCCAAACTGATGGCAATGTCCTTTGGCACCATTCCATAGCTATTACCTTCTTCAAGGCCAGTTCGTCAGCCATGTATTTCAAATCGTCATCATACTCTAGTTCGCCCGTGCTATCCCCCATTGAGCGAAACTGAGGTTCGTAATTGAGGGAGTCACGGCCAAGGGTGGAATCTCTACCGAGAGTGGAGTCTCGGCCAAGGGTTGAAATGGAGTAATCGCCAAAAACACTGTCCATTCGCGATTTGCTATCCTGGTGTGACGTAAACAAAAAAACACAAAAATAAGCACATCCATGCACAGGGTCACTGCCACACGTCCAGAAACAGTTCAACAGTGTCAGGGCTTTACTACAGTTTTAGATTCATTTTCATTTATTCCAGAAAGAACTTCTTACAGACAAATGCTGTTATAATATTGTTGTAATCCCAGAACAATCTACTTATAAACAAACATGTACAAAATATTGGAATCATATTTATATACTTGTTCTGCATCCTTTCAAATTAACACTTTTTCCTGGACCTGGGCAGTGTTGTAAGAATACAACAAAAAAAAAAAGTAAAATATTTATAGCATCAGATCAGAAACAAAACTTTCACACAAAAAAAATACTTCCAAATACATATGTATCTTACGATATGACAGATATTCCAGGGATGAAACAATGATCACGGCAGTTTGGTGCCATGAAATCCACTTGAACAGTACTTGGCGCTGTTCCACAAAGCGATCTTAGCCCGAAGACGGTCATAATTCCAAGTCTTCGACACTGACTAACGAATGTCATATTGCTGAGACCACTTTGTACAACAGGGCCACAGAATTTACAAAACTTTTTCCAATTGTTACAGTGACAATACTGAACATTTTTGCAACAACACTGAACTGAAACAGACCATAAAGCTTTATACAATTTGCCATTTGAGGGCTTAAAATGAAACTTGAATCAAAATTTGTGTTTCGTGTATTCATTAAGGTATAACATAGACACTGAATTTAACAAAAGAATTTCCAGATAAATTCATAGATAAAAATATTATCAGTTCAGTTTTTTTGGTCAATATTGATAAACAGTAAATCAATTATACATTGTTTTTTATTCTTCCACCATGGAATACCTGTTTAAAAGACTGGAAGTAGATTAATATAGCTTTAAATGAAATTAGAATTGTAAAAGATACTGGTTCAAACTAAATTTAGAGGTTCGTGAACACAAGATGACAACAACACTCACAAAATAATATATGAACACCAGATTACAATGAGGTGCAAATACGTGCAGTGTATGCTTGTTAATTGATGAATGTGATACAGTACTAATCTAGCTCCATGTGGCAACAACTTAGTGGATCAGGGAATTCATGCATTTCTGTCTATTTTCTTCTTATGATGCACAATATTTTCATTGTGAGAGTATGTTGGTTCTTGTTTTAATGAACTAATCAGCAATCCAATATGGCCGCCATTTTATGCAGAATTAGATCCAAGATGGCCACCATTTTACCTTATCCTTTGGTGAGAGGGTTTCCCCTCGGTAGTACATCATCTCAGCCTCGTAGTTGGGGGATTTTTCCAGGTAGGAGGGGTAATGCATTGTGGCACCAATCTCGCTGATAACGCGCCCTCGGGGGTCGGTTGCGTGACGCAACTGATAATCCTAAGATCGGGAGACAAGCAACACAAACCAAATAATATCACTGCCATGCGTAAGCCATGTTACAGATCAAACAAGGGGTGTTGGGAGAATCAAAATCATGAAAAAATATCAAAAAATGAGGTAGAGATTACAAAATAATAAAGTGTATTCCATTAAATGAATTTAAGGATTGGCAAATACCTTCCCTTGATGTCAGTGACAAACTTGTCATAAAAAATGTCAAATAACATGATCAAAGTATATCAATCTGCAACTTCTGCAATTAGTCCAAAATCTTGTCAACTGTCAGTCTATTAATGTTAGTTTTTGACATTGATAGCCTGTATATAAGGCATTAAGTCCACTGAAAACGAAGATTAAACAAACAGTAGACTGAACAATTTTGTCCCACACTACATTTTCAAAATTCTTTCAGCAGATCAAGGGAGTGTATTCATAAACAGCCAATTAAGCCAACATAACAATATTTCAGAGCTGGGAGAAGAGGTGCAGCAGTTCCTGGTTCAAGAGGGAAAGTTACTATCATTTATACAAGATATTTACAAATACATTGTTCTAAAGCCAAGCATGACAATCTGGCCATGCCTCATCGGAAACTGTCTGACATGCAAATATACTTTTCTAGTACACACTTGCAGAAGGGGCTCTTACTGCACAGACAGTTGTAAGCCCATGTTATAGGAATTACAACTGTGGCACCAAGACTGCTTGCTGTGGTTCATGTTAACAGTTAATGTAAAATACTTTTCCGTGATTGATTGATCACTGATATTATGTAGATTGATTGATGGATGACGATTTTCAGAAGAAAAACTATTCCAGGGAGACTACTCTGGCCTCATCTCCATGTGAAAAGCCATTTAGAATAAAGAGGAGTGTGTAGTGGCATGCTGATTTAATCACAAGATGTCACAACATCGATGTTGTCACGGACATTGACGGTGTCCACACAAGTTATGCTGGTGATGATCATTCATGACAAAGCCAGACACCAAACTGACCTTCTCAAATGACTGATCCAGTGGGGAAATGCTGCCACCACGCTCCAAGGACAGACTGTCCTCGCCTGTAAAAGAAAGCAGACGTCAATGTCGGCCATTTTGAAATTATGTATATCTGATGAATGTAATGAAGTGATGCACCTGAAAGATAATACCATTATTCTCAAAAGAATGATCAAACTAGAAATCTTTAATATTATGCAAACTCAGGCTCTTATGGAATTTGATAATTCTGTTATAAATAAAATTCTTTACATTTTATATATTCATACATGTAAACATTTATTACAAGAACACATAACACAGAAACATATGACAAGAAAAATGAATGTTGATATACGTGATGATTTATATTGTTAGTAGTTGTTAGGAGTGTTGCAGCATGAAGGTATTCAGCTAGATATGCAGGCATATTACCACATCACAAAAAACAGAACCTTCACTCTAGGTCTAACAATAGCAAATTTGCCATTTCTATAGAAAGTTTACATTTTTCCTGATTTCATCACATATTATATATACTATATTATGACTCAATAATCAAATACAATGTCATTAACAATACACCATTTTACCATATTACCACAAACATAGAATTACTTAAAACTTAAACTAAGCTTCGGCTGCTTCAAGGACTAAACCTGAAAATTTGGTAGAATTTTCTTAGTTAACAAAACACGCTGATATTGTAAGTCACACACTTAAATAGTAATTTAAGGCTTGTACTAAAAACATAAGGGTATGCATGCTTTGAGTAAGGGACTATGGCAAAAATGCATTTCACTGGACACTTTCTGCCATTTTGGTAAGGAAAGTGCACAAGATTTTCAGACGCTATTTTTAACCGTCTTGCTCCAATAACAGGGTGTTTGGGGAGCTTGCTTCACACACGTGAATGAAATACTTTCAAAAGTAAATGTAATTTTTAGGCACCAAATTTTTTACTCCTTTATTGCTTTGATATTTAATTTCAAGGTTTTATCATATTAAACCATACAAATGCAAGAGGGGTCATTACTTCTGCTTATTTTGGGTTTCATTGACCAATTTTTTAGACAGTAATGCTGTCGTGAGCAGATATATCAGTAGCATCAAACAAAATGGCAGATATGTGTTCAGTAAAATGCACATGTACCAGGAGAATTACTATAGTATCAATGACAGCTGACTAAATATCTCATATCAACAGCTAAAAATAAAAATTAATTCCTTGATGTTAGGGGTCAAGCAAATCATAATGCATAACAATATCTCAACATTCTAAGATTGTCTAAAACATATCAATGTTCTATCCATAGTGTTTCTTTTAGATCATCAATTACAAGGATTTTATTTCCAAATAAATACATTGATATGTTTTATGTACATTAAAAAAAGGCAAAATATAATAAAAGATAAGTAAAAACATAACAAATTAAAAGTGTTATATCAGCAGGGATAGAAACAGCCTACTGCCCCAAGCCAATCGCACCACTGGTACCCTGAGGGCTGGTAGAATGAGGAACATTTGGGGAGTTCCTAACTGGTACCCTGAGGGCTGGTAGAATGAGGTACATTTGGGGAGTTCCTAACTGGTACCCTGAGGGCTGGTAGAATGAGGTACATTTGGGGAGTTCCTAACTGGTACCCTGAGGGCTGGTAGAATGAGGAACATTTGGGGAGTTCCTAACTGGTACCCTGAGGGCTGGTAGAATGAGGAACATTTGGGGAGTTCCTAACTGGTACCCTGAGGGCTGGTAGAATGAGGAACATTTGGGGAGTTCCTAACTGGTACCCTGAGGGCTGGTAGAATGAGGAACATTTGGGGAGTTCCTAACTGGTACCCTGAGGGCTGGTAGAATGAGGAACATTTGGGGAGTTCCTAACTGGTACCCTGAGGGCTGGCAGAATGAGGAACATTTGGGGAGTTCCTAACTGGTACCCTGAGGGCTGGCAGAATGAGGAACATTTGGGGAGTTCCTAACTGGTACCCTGAGGGCTGGCAGAATGAGGAACATTTGGGGAGTTCCTAACTGGTACCCTGAGGGCTGGCAGAATGAGGAACATTTGGGGAGTTCCTAACTGGTACCCTGAGGGCTGGCAGAATGAGGAACATTTGGGGAGTTCCTAACTGGTACCCTGAGGGCTGGCAGAATGAGGAACATTTGGGGAGTTCCTAACTGGTACCCTGAGGGCTGGTAGAATGAGGAACATTTGGGGAGTTCCTAACTGGTACCCTGAGGGCTGGTAGAATGAGGAACATTTGGGGAGTTCCTAACTGGTACCCTGAGGGCTGGTAGAATGAGGAACATTTGGGGAGTTCCTAACTGGTACCCTGAGGGCTGGTAGAATGAGGAACATTTGGGGAGTTCCTAACTGGTACCCTGAGGGCTGGTAGAATGAGGAACATTTGGGGAGTTCCTAACTGGTACCCTGAGGGCTGGTAGAATGATGAGCATTTGGGGAGTTCCTAACTGGTACCCTGAGGGCTGGTAGAATGAGGAACATTTGGGGAGTTCCTAACTGGTACCCTGAGGGCTGGTAGAATGAGGAACATTTGGGGAGTTCCTATATGTTATCACTAGTCAAGCTTGAAGACTTCCTATGTTAATTTCTATCCCTGATCAAGGTTTCTTGACTTTAATTTCAGCAAACTAGAATATAGTCTTAAATATTTAATAATTTCTTCTGTACAAAATACTACTGAAGCATACAGGGTATTCCGAATGACAGTTATGGGCTTCGTGTCTGTATTCATACAATCTAGACCATCTATTTTCCATTCCAGAATGTTCTTTTGTTCAGTTTGTAATTTTTTAATCAAGTATATGTCAAAATCTGTTTCGAAGTGAAGATGTCCTCCGATCGTTGTTTAGCGGTAGGGAGAACTAGGAGCTGGTGTGAATGAGATGGAGGCACCATCTGAATATAAGAGCTAGTGTGAATGAGATGGAGGCACCATCTGAATATAAGAGCTAGTGTGAATGAGATGGAGGCACCATCTGAATATAAGAGCTGGTGTGAATGAGATGGAGGCACCATCTGAATATAAGAGCTAGTGTGAATGAGATGGAGGCACCATCTGAATATAAGAGCTGGTGTGAATGAGATGGAGGCACCATCTGAATATAAGAGCTAGTGTGAATGAGATGGAGGCACCATCTGAATATAAGAGCTAGTGTGAATGAGATGGAGGCACCATCTGAATATAAGAGCTGGTGTGAATGAGATGGAGGCACCATCTGAATATAAGAGCTGGTGTGAATGAGATGGAGGCACCATCTGAATATAAGAGCTAGTGTGAATGAGATGGAGGCACCATCTGAATATAAGAGCTAGTGTGAATGAGATGGAGGCACCATCTGAATAGAAGAGCTGGTGTGAATGAGATGGAGGCACCATCTGAATAGAAGAGCTGGTGTGAATGAGATGGAGGCACCATCTGAATAGAAGAGCTGGTGTGAATGAGATGGAGGCACCATCTGAATAGAAGAGCTGGTGTGAATGAGATGGAGGCACCATCTGAATATAAGAGCTGGTGTGAATGAGATGGAGGCACCATCTGAATAGAAGAGCTAGTGTGAATGAGATGGAGGCACCATCTGAATAGAAGAGCTGGTGTGAATGAGATGGAGGCACCATCTGAATAGAAGAGCTAGTGTGAATGAGATGGAGGCACCATCTGAATAGAAGAGCGAGTGTGAATGAGATGGAGGCACCATCTGAATATAAGAGCTGGTGTGAATGAGATGGAGGCACCATCTGAATAGAAGAGCTAGTGTGAATGAGATGGACGCACCATCTGAATATAAGAGCTGGTGTGAATGAGATGGAGGCACCATCTGAATAGAAGAGCTGGTGTGAATGAGATGGAGGCACCATCTGAATAGAAGAGCTAGTGTGAATGAGATGGAGGCACCATCTGAATATAAGAGCTGGTGTGAATGAGATGGAGGCACCATCTGAATAGAAGAGCTAGTGTGAATGAGATGGAGGCACCATCTGAATATAAGAGCTGGTGTGAATGAGATGGAGGCACCATCTGAATAGAAGAGCTAGTGTGAATGAGATGGACGCACCATCTGAATATAAGAGCTGGTGTGAATGAGATGGAGGCACCATCTGAATATAAGAGCTGGTGTGAATGAGATGGAGGCACCATCTGAATAGAAGAGCTAGTGTGAATGAGATGGAGGCACCATCTGAATATAAGAGCTGGTGTGAATGAGATGGAGGCACCATCTGAATAGAAGAGCTAGTGTGAATGAGATGGAGGCACCATCTGAATAGAAGAGCTGGTGTGAATGAGATGGAGGCACCATCTGAATATAAGAGCTAGTGTGAATGAGATGGAGGCACCATCTGAATAGAAGAGCTAGTGTGAATGAGATGGAGGCACCATCTGAATATAAGAGCTGGTGTGAATGAGATGGAGGCACCATCTGAATAGAAGAGCTAGTGTGAATGAGATGGAGGCACCATCTGAATAGAAGAGCTAGTGTGAATGAGATGAAGGCACCATCTGAATAGAAGAGCTAGTGTGAATGAGATGGAGGCACCATCTGAATAGAAGAGCTAGTGTGAATGAGATGGAGGCACCATCTGAATAGAAGAGCTGGTGTGAATGAGATGGAGGCACCATCTGAATAGAAGAGCTGGTGTGAATGAGATGGAGGCACCATCTGAATAGAAGAGCTGGTGTGAATGAGATGGAGGCACCATCTGAATAGAAGAGCTGGTGTGAATGAGATGGAGGCACCATCTGAATAGAAGAGCTGGTGTGAATGAGATGGAGGCACCATCTGAATAGAACAATACATTCCAGTGTCTCCAATACCACAAAACTTGAACAGAACTCTGATGGGCGGAGAACAAAATAAATAAAGAATTTAAATGGAAGAATGAATCAAGTGCAGAGCTTACCGCTGTGACATAAAGTGTTCATGGTTCAGTAGCTGGAATACTCAAGTCTAACTGTGAGACTAGCAAGTAGAGTTATGCCATAACTGTCACATAGAGAATGCCATAAACCAAATGTCATTGTAATTAATGTCACGTCTCAAGAGGAATCATAAAGTTTTGAAATAGACGGCTCAACATCATAGTTGTCTTTTCAAAATTTCGAAGCAACTTCAAATAAACGTCAAAGATGTCAAGACGAAGTATCATGTTTATTAATTCAGTTAACATTAAAAACTACATATATTCATATCTTTAGAGAACATGAAGTCCTAAAACAGAGGCAGACGATTAGTCTAAATTTGGATTTGAAAGTCACCACACCTGCATGACTATTTCTCAGCTACGGGTAATAAACAACAGAAATTGATGAGTAGTTGTCATTATATTACAATCAAACACCCAACACAGTTAAAACATTAATTAGAATATATATCAGAATTGTGTATGTGAATTCAATTTGGTTGAGTGGGAATGGAGTGGAGAAAGGATAGGCGTGGTTGGCAAAATTGTGACCCCGTTTTGTTATAATTGTGATCTGATAATATGACAAGTACTCATCTATTTTCAAACTGATCAAAATAAGCCAAATCAATACGGACAATCTAATCAAAAGATGCTGCAAAAACAAAAGGCAATGAATCTACTACATGACGGGTGGGCTGCAATCGACAAGGCGTCAGGCTGGACGGACTACACCGATGTTCTGTGTGCCCAGACTCAGCCGAAACTTACGGTTCTGCATCTTTTGCCCTTCGTAATAAGGCAAGTACACGTGTTGCTCTGACAGAGGTTTGCCGAACAGAGGGGACTGCGGCAGGAAGTCGTCGCCTATGCAGCATGAGGGGAGAAAGAAATCACATGACATACACTTGTACATAGCAGTTTGTGACAACATTTCGGACAGCATTTGTGACAGGTGCTTGTTTTCTGCTTCACAACGCCTGAAAAAAAATCTAAAACAGAATCATTAGATTATCACTATTGTAAAGGCAAAAAAGATTACTACCAAATTTTAACTGGTTCCAAAACACTAACTTTGAAATATTGGCACCTATTTCAATTCTTTTCAAATGAATTGTTTCAAAAGTACCATTGTAATTTTAATTTTGATCTGCTAGCTGACACAAAATGCTTTCATGCCTTGTGCTCATTGCTAAGACATGATGCCCACCTCGTCACCCAATCCTAAATACACACGAGACTTATCTGAGTGGCATAGACCTGCCGGGGATCAAATTACAGAGTATAATGGTTGCAGTACAAAGGGATCGATCATTGTTAGAATTCAATATATCGTACTTAGAAAGAGTACATTTCTTTTCAGGTAATACGTGGTTACAAACATTCTTGCTTGCACAGTTAATGAGTTAAAAGTGGTTATAATGATTTGGGAGTATGCACCAAATTGATTGTGATGCTTTTGTACACAGAGCATTCCAGGAATACACTTGTCAGCTAAAAATTCCTTTGCTAAATTATTAATTATTGAACGTGCCACATGCATATTGATGTGTTAATTTGATTCAGAATTAATGAGTCACACTACAATCAGTTGTTCGGAAACTACAATCAGTTCGGAAACCTCAGTTTCCATTCCATGATTAGACATTGTGACAGCAGTGGCCATTAGATAATATCGGATATATCTTGAGTAGGTCAAAGAGGAAAGGTCATGGGTTCATGCATGTCATGTGACCACCTTTGAACTTGTAGTCACATGTAGATGCAACAATCTGCCTAGCTCTGTGCAGAAGAGGAGACATTCCTGAAAACAAATCAAAACACAGATTCTAAATTATTCTCAGTAATTTTGTTCACTTGCAACTGTTGAATCCCAAAACTGCCAAACAGGATTTGACCCTTTTCAGAGTTTGGGTAGCAAGAATTGACAGTTGGTGGCCTGGAAACAATCCTAAAATAAAGAAATAGTTAGTTAGAAGATACTTAGTTCTCATCAACGCGGTTTTGATATGCCCACAATTTCTTACTGGTTAAATGTCTCTAGCTAGGTGAAGTGGAGGCCACACGGAGGTTGGCATTAGAGATACATGTGTTAGAGTCGAATGTGGGGTTAGATGATCCAGTGAAGACCAGTGAAGACCAGTGAAGACCAGTGAAGACTAGTGAAGACAAGTGAGGACTAGCAATAATCTCGCAGTTTCACCTTGATTAGAAAGAATGTAGGGTTATCTGGTTTAGTATTTTGGTGGGAAGAAACCCTTTACCCTAAGCAGGGCAGTCTGAGAAACTGGACACGAAATATTTTGTAATTAACTTTTTATTCTAATATTACATCCCTTAAAACTAATTCTACTTCTTTTACTGTGAAAGTGTCCTTGTGCATATGGACATACCTTTTAGAGGTTTGTCTTCATTTTCAAATACCAATGTACAAGAATTAATATGGTGTTTATGATGTTGCATTCTTAAAACAGAAATAATCCAGATATGTCTTACTTTATCAAAACTAAGAAACAAGAATACAAATATTAAACTAAAGAAAAAGATATCCTGATCCTCAGACTTCATTAAATAGAAAACAAAGAAAATGATTTTGTGCACAAATAGATTTAGTATTGCAAGTGGAAGCAGGACGTATGGACATATGGACGCATGGACAGATGGACGTAAGGACGCAGGTGGAGATAGTAGATGGGAGGTCCAACACCCAGATACACAGGGACAGGGTTTACCTTGTAATGCCCCAGAAAAAGTGAGAATCGACACTTGATCACTGCGATACGACCCGAATACGCTCCCTTGGATGAAAGCAAAGTGCAGTTCAACAAAACAAAAGTACAGACTCTAGACTAAATGAGTGACGTTTTTTTAAAAGCTACAAGTCTGTGCAGCAGAGTGGACAGGATGCAGCAGAAGGGTAGATGCTGGCTGGGGCCGGAATATTCTACATTATAAATAGAAATCCATTTCCACTATCAAATGTGTTAACTTATACAATTTCATTTTAGATTTTTAAATTGTTAAAAACTACTTTTATTAAATTTTGCTCGATATACTTGTATATATACGTAGCTGACCACTAGTTACTATGTAGTGACTAAAAAACACAAGCTAAGCTATACAATTTGTTCAGAGACACAAAAATGTCATTTGAAGAAAAAGAGGCAAAATATGTAACATTCTAACCCGAGCCGGCACCTACAATTCACAGCTGTCTCATCCCATGTTGAGCTAAAAGAAATTTGTTAATTTTGTCATTGCGAGAGCAGTGATTGACTCCATCCATTGCTGGAGTAATCTGCACGTAGAGATGTCTGACGCCAGATTGGTGGCGCAAGCAAGTCGCAACATTAATGGCGTGCCGGAGCGACATAGCCAGGTGGGGGTTAATAAACGAACAGTCTGGCCAACGAGGAGTTTTTGGTTACCTAGGAAACCAGACAGGCGCGATGTATCTGAAACAAAATACTATCTAGGTGTACATAGGAACGAACAGAATGAACATGGTTATAACACTAAGAAGTGCTTGTGGAGTTTATCTTAAACAGATCTAAATACAAGATTTCATTCCTGTTGTAAAATTGTTTACGTATTAGTTGTCAAAGATGCTGTTGACAGTGGCACATTGAAACATGCATTTCATTGAAACCGTAAGCATTTTTGTTGATTTTTATTTAAAGCGTTTTCATCACTGAACTTTTTCCATGAAATTATTGGTTTAACCAAGGACAAGGAAATTTATCATTTTCTTTTAAGTTCTGATTCTCATTATTTTCTATAAATATACTGTCAAATATATTTTTCTCCTACCAACCATTTTGCAGTCACATACTTACCGTACTTACTTCTAAACAAAAGGGCAAAATGGTTACATCAAAAGCTCAACTGATACAGAGTTAGACATGAAGCTTTGAGAGCTCATTACGCTATATTTATATACCGGAGCTGCATGGAATCAATGATGACAATCATCTGCTCTGAAGATGGATATAGTCACAGCCTGAAGCTGACGATGAGTTTATAGAGATGTTGACAGATCAGAGAGAGGAACAAGAGATGACTCGTGAATGCTACCTGTCTAGGATCACCTACACCCCTACAGCAAGAAACAGATCTTGTTCTAGTCTAGACAGCCTCTGTGGTTATGGATGATTTGGAAACAAACAAAGACATTAAAGTTTGGATGGGAAGACTTGGTGCATCGGTGATTCATGGTGAAAGCTGTGAGGGTTTCATTCAAAATAAATTCATACTTTGGGCTAAATGTCTGGGGAAGAGATAACAAACTTAAAGAAATACAGGAGAAACACAAAAGTTCAAATTGATGTTGATAAAATATAAAAACTATAGATCACACTTCAAATACTCCCCAGGGAGATCAGAATGAAATTTGAGTGTGTACTTATCTATGGCTGGGGACACCAGAAATGGGCTTCACACATTGTACCCATGTGGGGAATCAAACCCGGGTCTTCAGCGTGACGAGCGAACGCTTTTACCACTAGGCTACCCCACCTCCCCGAATAAGTTGGAAGTCAGGTGTTTTATACATACATTATCTGAAGCACAAGTTCTTATGGATAAACAATCTCTTTATTACAATTAAGGCAACAGTTTTAGTGTAGATTCTGACACCTTTATCAAGCAAATGCAGCTTGTCCTTTTCATCGTACAACTTCTACATGTCACTCACAGAAGGGACCGATACTGATAAATAGGTACATTATGGAGGGTCAATGACCAGGCTCCCTGACAGTCAGGCGAACTGAAGATAAATTCATATAAATTTAGAAATGATATTATTTTCATCCAACTCCAAACCATGGTTTACAAAGCCACAACGTATGAATCAATTCTTAATATGTTTTTGTATGTGATTATTTACAGTTAAGACTAAGAGGTAATAAAAATGTGACATCATCAACGTCAATCAAATGACTTACAATAACCCCTTTCTATGCAGGCTACTATCTACTAACATAAACACCGTTACAAGTGCTGAAATATTCCGTTGCATGAACACACGGCAACCTACAACATCTTCCAAGCACCCGAACCACTCCCCCACCAACATGACCTGGACCTGTCAATCATCCACCACAGTCCACCCACAACACTTAATTTACATACACAGGCGCCACCCATTCAATATGAACAACCATGGTTGGACAGATCTGGGAAGTAGGTGTGGTCAGATCTGGCATGAATGAAGCAGTACATTTAACCTGGAAGCTGGTGTAACCATGTGCCTATGATGGAAAGCAAGCAAAACAAGGCTGCTGGTTTTTCTGCTACGCTGTGGATATAATTCACTAAAGGAGTTTGGGCTATTTATTTAATTCACCTCGTCCGAACAGACCCGAATCTCGGGAGTTTCGGTTGCTGCCTGAAAAATAAACCTCACAGCCGTCATTTGTGTTGTGTATATCTGCGTATGGTATATAGTAGGGCTGCAACGAATACACTATGAGGCGAATACGATTCATATCACGAATATAGGGTAAAGAATACGATTATTAATTCACGAATACAATAACCAGTCAGCAGTTGATGTATTATTTATTATATTCAGTGAAATAATAACAAAATAAAATAATTGACATGGTTTTTTAATTAATAATATATTTTACATTTATTTACTGCACCTATCCTGGTACTCGTATCTGCTCTAAAGCGATAATGACCAGTGACCACAATACAGTCACATTAAATATTATAAGAGTGTTGTCTTTGAAAGAAATCTATACATATAATATGTTCTTATGGATATTTTTAGGTACAGGGTATGTAAATACACATGATTGCATATTCATAAATATTTGATTCTAGTGGCCATGAATAACAAATTCAATTCATAAATGGATACGGTTTGATTCACCTAATATGTGAGTGAATCGTAACAGCCCTAATATATATCATGTTTTCAAGCTGTTGTTTACATCCCAAATTTATATTCATGTTAAGAAATTAATTTAGTACTGTTTTGAACGCAATTACTTTAGAAAGGTCCAGATTGGTTTTCTTTAAATTTCACAGAAAACGGGTTCACTGAAGCTAACTTAGTAAATTGTCTCTAATAGGTCAAGTAAAGTGATGTCAGTGGTGTTTGTTTTCCAAGATCAAGTTATTTTTATTTTAAACAAAAATCAGTGCAATAAATTACAAACAAAACTATTAAGACAAAATACAGGAATAAATGACAGAATATTACCTGAAAGAAAGTGCAGAGTTAATTAGTTTTAACCTTTTAATATATATATATATATAATAAACATTGTACAAAAAATAACATTATCAATGAATAGTAACAACATTGTCAACGTGTAATTAATTATTCAACATACAAGTTCAGTGTCCCATGCATTAATTGTCAATACCTAATTTGATCCAATATTTTAAGAATAAACTTACATGAATGTAACACCATATTTCTTTTACTTGCTACTAAGGTAAATCATTACTTCGTACTAAATCTGTCAATGCTCAGAGACACTGAATGATGAATAAAAGCTACCTTTGAAAGAAAACAAATTTCTATTTTCAAATATTTAGTCCCATAGAAAGTTTGGAATCTTTCAAATATTCTACATAATAAAATATCACCGGAAGAATCCAAATCTTAAATCATTAATATTTACCCATAGAAAGATTTGGACTCTTCCAAGTAGTCATAAATCAATTCATAGGAACAGTCTAAACATGGATATAGGTATGACAGGTGCTTACCTCCTTCATCCTCCGAGTCTGAGATGAGGGTCTCCTGCATGGTTTCCGGGGAGACGACCTTGTACTTGTCCTCGGTGGCGGGGATGGTCTGCACCTCAGTCACTCCCTGTAGGGTGTCCACGACCGAGATGTAACCAAGCTTCTGGGCGATGGCCAGAGCTGTCTGTCCGTTCTGGAAACACAGAAGAGGTCATTCCGTTTATGTTTGTTTGTTTGTTTGTTTAATGTTGCTTTCTGTAACACTCAGCAATAGTCCATCTATATTATGGCAGCCTGTAAATATTGGAGTCTTGACCAGACAATCCAGTGACTGATATCATGAGCACGGGGTACAATGACACGTACCAACCAAGTCACCTGACCACTCATGGTTGCCTCTTACAAGCATCATTGGTTGCTGGGACATTCATCCAGGTTGTGAGGATGGACCCATTATAATAAGATCTTAATGATTCAAAGAAGGTTTTTTGTTTTTTTGTTGCCGCACTCAGCAGACAATCCATTGATTGACATCACGAGCATCGATCCATGCAATTGGGATACGATGACATGCATCAACCAAGTCAGCAAATCTGACCACCCAATCCTGTTAGTCACCTCTTACGACAAGCATGGGTTGCAGAAGACCTATTCTAACCCGGATCTTCACGGGTAGATGGAAAAAAATTTGTACCATGAAATTATAAATTAAAGATTTTATCTCAGCTGAAGAGCATCCTGCCATCTCTCCACAGAATCCATTGCCACGTTTTTCTACATGCCATGCCATGGCAGACTAACTATTGTAATATGAAAGAATTGGGTGATCCTGAACTTCTTTTAAGTAGTATATCACCATGTGATCGTGTCTGTCTTATAGTAGTAGCTACTCACATTGGTGACGGCGTTGGGCGAGGCGTTCTGCTTGAGGAGCATGTTGCACACTTGGACATGGCCCTGCTGGGCTGCCTGGTGGAGAGGGGTGTAGCCCAGCTGAAACACACACCAACACATCAATACAACAATACAACAATACAGGAACACACACCAACACATCAATACAACAATACAATAATACAACAATACTGGAACACACAAACTCATGTATACAACAAACAACAAACACAAACACACCAACACATCAATACACAACCAACCAACAGGTGAAATGCATACTCTCAGAATTGTTTAGTAAACGTACATTTGTAAAAAATAAATGTTCAAGTAAAAGGTCAAAAGTTAAGAGGCTATTTTGAGCCTTTGATCATTATTGAAATGGCTTCAAATTAGGTACATCATCTGTTTACACAAAACAGTTATTAACACACACAAAATATAACTATTTTGGTCCATAGTTTCAAACCCTATGACTCAGTCTGTACCAAAGACTTTAGAGTCCCCTAACCTGAAGATGGCCCCTAGCATCATTCTCAGCAGAATTTAGTGTTACAGGGACTGTTTATTATAAGTTGAGCTTACTGGACCGAACAGAATTGTACTGGAGGTGGGCTTCGGACTAGCGGTGAAGTCGCAGACAGTATGGCATAACTCAAGCATATTTTTATCAATCATTTGGTTGGATTCATTGTTTGAATTTGTCACATAAACAAGCCAGACTGCAAACACCCAATCACCATTCAAGTTAAATTATCGTGTATTTGTGGCCATGCTATGATGTTCCTCAAACAGCTCCCACTTCAAGCTGAATCTAAACTTGCAGCACACCTGCTTTCAGCGCTGTATCACAGTAATACAGGTAAGCCTGTGGAACCCATGGCATGTCAGCATTGTGGTCTCAGGAACACTGACGACAAATAGCACCAAGCTAATGTAGCTCACCCGGTGGAATCCAGTTACGCGGAATGTCGTATGTAGTGAAATCTTCAGCATCAGGTAAAGAGCGGGAGGCCATAAGCTGGCTTTAAATATGGTCTAGGCAAGGAAGTATCATATTGATGTAATATTATATCTTATCATTGTTGTGGTAATGAATATTAAGGTAATATCACTAAAAGATATTGTATTTTCGGTATTTTCATAGCATTATCAATAATGGCCACAGGTGGGTGCAGATGGTGGCATCAAAAAGACTTATTATTATTAGAATTATCTTTCACAAAAAGTTTCAGTTTAATCAAAGAAATTTTAAGAACCTTAGTCATGGTGAGCTAAAACACCTTTCCATACTTTGAGACTCATACCTTGATTTTATTACCTTGACTCCCATGCCTTTGTATAGATAATAGATTCTTGTATTGATTGGTCACATGGTTGCTGATGCCACAGAAAATATAAACTAACTTGGTTTATTGTTCATAACTGGCAACATCAGCCGAATGGACGCAGGCACATGTGTACATAGAGTAAGCATATAGATGCTGCTGAGACAGGAGAGATTCCGGGAATATTTGAAGCTGAATACTGTCGATTCACTCTGCCATCAGAATGAGAAGCAGTTAAATCCAGGACAATAGCCTCACAGATTACCTTCAATGGGCTGTTACTGGTCTGAAATGTGTCGAGCCTTGAGACAGTCAAACAGAACTTGATGAAGTGTTCTTTGATATGTATTGAAATGTATTTTGTACTTGAAATTTCTTAGTTTAATCTGACAGGAAGTTTGACCGTTCCTTCTAAATGTTACATCACTATTCACATTAGTTAACATCAGTGGACACACATCCATGAACACATGTAACCTACCCACATATCAAAGAAATTGCATGAGCCTCACAGTCGATCTATAACCCGCTCCCACCTCACACAGCAACAAAAACAACACAAGTGTTCCAGTTGCTAAATACATCTTTCACTTCAACTGTAGCTTGAACTCAAGCCAAGCACACATTTCACCATGCTCAACAACTGCATAGCATTTTACTAGGTCCTGTGATCTAATGAAAATATACCCATTGAATGCCAAGGAAACTGCATTAATCCAACCCACCCTGACACAGCCCTATACATGTCATCCCACAATATTGTGTAGGACTCACCTTGGTAATTGTCAATCAACTCAACCCACCCTGACACAGCCCTATACATGTCATCCCACAATATTGTGTAGGACTCACCTTGGAAATTGTCAATCAACTCAACCCACCCTGACACAGCCCTATACATGTCATCCCACAATATTGTGTAGGACTCGCCTTGGTAATTGTCAATCAACTCAACCCACCCTGACACAGCCCTATACATGTCATCCCACAATATTGTGTAGGACTCGCCTTGGTAATTGTCAATCAACTCAACCCACCCTGACACAGCCCTATACACGTCCTCTACAACATCCACCTTGGTGGTGGCTGATCAACCCAACCCGTCCCGACACATCCCGACATGCATCCCTCACACCACGGAGTGGCACCCACCTTGGTGGTGGCATTGACTGAGGCCTTCTGGTCCAGCAGGAAGCGCACCATGTTCTGCTGTCCGAAGTGGGAGGCGGTGTGCAGGGGGGTGTAGCCAGCCTAGGGAGGCAACATGGAATCGTTAGTCACAAGAACTTTACAATTCTAAGACAAACGTTAAAACTTTGTTGGTTGCTCAAGGTAAATTTAACTACTTTAACATTAACATAACATTGTAAAACATTTTATAACTTGGGGGACAAAATCTATGGAGAAAAGTACCAATTTATAGAATTTATAGGTGAGCGATTGCTTTTGCACCACAGCAATATTAAAGCATTTACAACTTTACATTACAACCCGTCTGGCAAATCTTGGAGTGAGTTGGGTTTAACGCCGCTTTGAACAGTATTCCAGTAATAACACAGCGTGTCAGCTTAATGTAAGAGGAAAGCCTGAAGTGATTCCTACGTTTACCACTTTGGTGAAACCCACGGCAAACCTAGAAACATAATCAGGGTGAATCGTGATCTAAACCCACAATTTCAGGTTTCCGGCATGCCCAAGGGACACAACCCTGCAAAGCAAACTGAAATCTTGGAACACCCTGCTGTTGCATCCACACTCACTCACCTTAGTAGTGGGGTCGATCTCAGACATATACTTGACGAGGATCTCTGCCACCGGGGTCTTGTCCTCCTGGGCGGCGAGATGCATGGGGGTGAGGCCATTGTGAGCTTTAGCATTGACGTTCGCCTGGTGCTCGAGCAGCAGCGACACAATGTCTGTGTGTCCTTCCTGGGCCGCGAGGTGAAGGGGGGTGAAGCCGTTCTGAAACATACGTCTTCAACTGAGACTCTAGTCTAATTCCTCTTGCAGCTTTCAATCTCCACCTGGTTTTTGTTGCATGTTTTGTTGTCTAACTCAAGGATATTCCAGCTGTATGGCGGCCTAGTAATCAAGTCTGGACCAGACATTCCAGTGATTGATATTGTGAGCAACATTCCAGTCAGGGTTTTACCTTGACGTACAAAAGTGGGGGTCCAGGGGGCCCCCATTATTAATTTTAATGGTCCTTGCAGACAACATGAGGGTCCAGTAAATTAATAAAACGATGTAGTGTACTGTACATTTTGATAATTACTTTAGAGCCTGGAATGAATCAGTGATGTGGACAGTGGTTGTGCTTGATGGACAAAATAGCAAACACCCATCACTGCTCTTGATGCACTGTAGGTACAGTGAAAATTATTGTGCATCCCTCGAGACGGCAGTATATTCTTTACATGAGTGCATACTGGAGGCACATTTGTGCGTCACATAAAACCCTGTCTGTAGAGAAACTGCACTCACCTTAGATTCTGCGTTGGGTTTCGCTCCGTACTCCAACAGGGTGGTGGCAATGTCCATCTGGTTTTTCTTGGCTGCGATGTGAAGTGGGGTGTAGCCATTCTGGGACATGAAAGTGAGATGTAAGTCAATTAGTGAAAGAGCAAATTAATAGTTTCAAAATATTTCTGTAATATCCAACCAGTGGCTGTCATCAAAGCAATCATCGAAGACTAAAGGTTCAATCTGAACCTAGTAAAGCCATGATGCAACTGTCCTTGGTGCTAGGTCACAAATCCATATCTTGAGCATCCTGTCACTACCTGGAGTTGTCTCATGGTTTTCTTTAGGAAATAAAACTGAAACTAGCATATAATGAATTATCTGCCCCTTGAACATAGACATTGACTGGATTAAACTGCAATGTTTTCTTATCTCCTACAGTTGTTGTCACAGTTTTGTTTGTTTGTTGTTTAACGCTGCACTCAGCAATATTCCAGCTATATGATGGCAGTCTATAAATAATCAAGCTTGGACCAGACAATCCATTGACTGACATCATGAGCATCGATCGACACAATTGGAATACGATGACAGGCATCAACCAAGTCAGGGAGTCTGACCACCAGATACTGTTAGTCGCCTCTTACTACAAGAATAGTCGCCTTTTATGGCAAACATGCATTGCTGAGGACCTATTCTTCCCCGGATCTTCATGGGTCTGTTGTCCCAGTACTGAATCAGATCATAACAATGCAGAGAAGACTTGGACGGTGACAATAATCAGGCAGTTGTAGCTATTTCATGGACAGCTTTTTAATCTCCATGTTACCCTCACCTTGGCCGCGGAATGTGGGTTAGCCTTGTGTTCCAGCAGGAGTTGTGCGACGTTCACGTGGTTGTAGTGGGTGGCCACGTGGAGCGGGGTCAGGCCGTTCTTGCCCTGCACGTCTGGGTTTGCTTCCTTCTGCAGCAGCAGTCGGGCGACCTTGATGTTGCCGTACTTGGCCGCGATGTGAAGTGGGGTGAAGCCCTTCTGTTGGAGGAAGGACAGGCAGCCTTGTAATACTCAGATCACTGATGCTACATAATACCGATGATGAACCACTAAACACCTATGTATGGCAGCTTGGACAGGTAAAATGTCTCTACCATTTTGTTGTTAATGTCGGACTCAGCAATATTCCAGCTATATGACGACGGTCTGTAAATAATCAAGTCTGGATCAGACTATCCAGTGATTGACATCATGGGCATCGATCTACGCAATTGGGATATGATGACATGCATCAACCAAGTTCCCGAGCCTGACCACCCCATCCCGTCAACTTTCTCAACCAAAAGCAGTAATATTGGCTGCAGGGGCCACTTTCATGTTGCCATCCTTGGCTGCGATGTGAAGCAAGGGTCAAACCCTTCTACTGGAGAAAGGACATGCAACTTTATAATACTCAGTTATAATAATCACTGATGACGTTCAGAAATGACTGGCAATGTCAAACGGTAACTGACGATGAAAATTACTCAAAGAAAAGCAGTTATAATCAGCCATCTGTACCTTCGTGGTCATGCTGTGTGAGGCGCCGTTGTCCAGGAGGACTTGAGCCACTTCCTCGTGCCCCTCCTTGGCCGCGATGTGGAGAGGGGTGTACAGGTCCTTGGTTGTTGCATCGGGGGAGGCGCCGTGCTGCAGCAGCAGTACGACGTTGTCGACGTTGCCGAGGCGAGCGGCAATGTGCAGAGGTGTCTGCTTCTCCTGGAGGAGGACATGGGATGAATTAGTTAAGTGTAGGGGCCTATACTTGCAAAACATGATCATCTGTAGCAATTTGATGTTGGCAATGACATGAGTAGTCTCCCCTTGACTGTACCCGAATAGAGGGAGGAAAGCATTAACATGAACTTTTTTAATTTTAATAGTCATGAAAACTGATGTCTGACTTGCATAAAAAGTGTTCGGCATTATATTTTTACCTATTGCAGTTAACAAGTATATGAAGTAAAGATTAAGGAAGAGAATTTATGAATGTCAACTTCTTTGTGTGGAACAGCCTTTCGGAGTATATGCTGACTCCTTCATCAGGTGATTCATATTTTGGAATATATATATATATCTACTCCTTCATCAGAAGAAGTTGACATCTACAAATTCTCTTCCTTATGTGTATCACTTCTAAATGCCTTTCAAAGATTTGTTCTCATTCATCAGATATAAGTTTCCTTGATAGAAAGTGCGGTTACTGACCCTGGCGGTAGCATCGACAGTAGCTCCATTTCTCAGCAGGATTCTGATGATGTCTGTCTGGTTGGCGCGGGCCGCGAGGTGGAGGGATGTCTCGCCGCGGACTGTGGGGGTGTCTGGGTTAGCGTTGTGTTGGATCAGGTAGATGACGATGTTCATGTGGCCCATGAAGGAAGCCACATGCAATGGAGTGAGCCCAGACTGAAGGGTCAAGGACGAAGGGTTAAAGGCGATAATCACAAGCAATAATTCTTCCTATATTCTACACTGAACTTATTTCACAAAGGAATCTTAGGGCTTTTACTATTGTACAAGTAAAGAAAGGGATTATAATTATATATAAATAATAAATAATATAATAATAATAACAACGTTGTTTTGTGAAAGTTTGTGGGGGTGGGGCTGGGGTGGAAGAGAGTTTTTTTTACAAGACATCACAAAGACTTCACTCACCATTCATACATATTAGATCAGGGCTAATTCATAATGTTAAAGTTATAACAACTTTCTATTAAAATCTCTCACAATGTATGTTCTAAAGCAGTAGGGTGCCAAAGCGTATAAGAGATATGACGGTCCTAATTCTAGGACAGACATGACAGTAAGAGCACCACAGTAGCTATGTCCTGCATTTGACGAACAATGTGATCCGATAGATTTGGTTGTCAGAGAACTGTTTTACCCATAAGTGTCAAGGGACACTGTTTAGAACACCTAGCTGACTCAAGACTGCTTAGAATTGTCCCCCTATGTTCCATTACATTAGTAATATTCAATTCTACATTTGCATTCCATTGGTGAAGCACACTTACCTCGGTGGTAGCCTCGATGGAAGCTCCATACTTGAGCAGCAGTTCCACCACCTTGATCCGGTTCTTCTTACATGCAATGTGGAGCGGGGTGAAGCCGTTCTGCAACACAACATATCAGTCCTCAGGTCCTCATCCTCATAATGTATCATCAGTGAAATAGAAGGAAGATACTTTGTAACAGATTAACTGAATGATCGTTGGTTGGTTTGTTGTTTAAAGACGCACTCAGCAATGATCGTATTGAAAGCAATGAGACTAACAAGAAATGGTAACTCACCAGTGCTCTGGCATTCGGCTCGCACTTTCTGTCCAGCAGGAGTTTTGCTGTCTTCACGTTGCCGCAGTGAGCCGCCACGTGCAGAGGTGTCAAGTAGTCCTGAGGTGAAACAACAACACATTTCTCAACACATTGCAAATGTTGAACTCAATTTCCAGGCGTGGAAAAGTATTCTACCTTGGTTGCTACATTGTTTCCACAATTTTGTCTGAGATCTAAATCTTTAATATTGTTAGCTTCATCATCAGCATCACCATCCACATCATTATCAGCATCTACAGATCCGATGCAGAAACAAGGATGTTTGACTCAATGTTATACCGGTACATGCAGTCCTGCATACTTGCGGGACAGGGGCACCAGCAGAGCAAGGCATACAGGTACTCACCACAGTGATCTCGTCCAGCTGGGCCTTGTGGTACAGGAGCAGACGGGCACAGTCCACGTGATCTCCTTGGGCCGCCATGTGCAGGGGAGTCAGGCCGTTCTGGAAGAAACATGCAGCCGTCAACACCTTCATCAAGTCCACAAGACAGCTTCATTGGTCATTCACAGACAAAACAAACAGTTGCAATGAACAGCTACACAGGAAATTTTCAACCCCTTCAATAATTCTACAATATGCCTACAGAATGTTCTACAATATGCCAACCAATCCATGGTATAAATGTTGAACTCACATTCTTGCAATTCCACCAATCAAAAAACTTCCAAACAACTGATCTGTCCCACATCCGTTGTATTTTTTTATGACCTGATTATACCGATATAAAATTTATCACATGACATGAGTTAGTGAGGTAATGCTTTACGTCACATCAGCAATATTTCAGCCATATCGTGACGAGTCACATAATATGAAATACTGTATGTCTCTTTCCTTCATCTCAAAAGGATCTAATAACAGCAATGTCAAAAATACTTCCGACAGGTAAGGGAAGTAACTCTTTGACCTGACCTATAAAAATCATATGTTATTTTAATTTCACGTAAGTGACAATACTCAAAAGAGATTACTTCAAAATTTGTGTTTTCTTATCTTACTATATTTTCAAAAACTGAATTCTTTTTTATGAAAAGATCCATTATGCAAGTGATAAGAGTGTTGTTGTCACCTTTGTCTTGGCCGAGTTGGGGGCTCCCCGCTCCAGCAGAAGATCCACGACACCCTCGTGTCCACTCCGAGCAGCGCAGTGAAGAGGGGTCAGTCCATCCTGAAACAAAACCGAACATCATTCCTTTGTAGGTTGTTTCATGCCTTGCTCAACAATATTCAAGTTACGTAACGATGACCTGTAAATAATCAAGTCTCGAACAGACAATCCAATGATTGATATTATGAGCAACGATCAAGGGAGGTGGGGTACGACGAGTCTCAAGAGTGAAAGTGTGAGTATTGTTTTACGTTGCTTTTAGCAATATTCCAGCAATATCACAGCAGGGGACACCAGAAATGGGCTTCACATGTTGTATCCATGTGGGGAATCGAACCCGGGTCTTCGGTGTCATGAGCAAACGCTTTAACCACTAGGCTACCCCATGCCCCCTGCTCAGACATGACACACGAGAAGGCTGACTGTGTACACTTACCCTGGTTCTCTCGTCAATGTTGGCGCCATGGTCCAGGAGAAGGCTGACTGTGCACACTTACCCTGGTTCTCTCGTCAATGTTGGCGCCATGGTCCAGGAGAAGGCTGACTGTGTACACTTACCCTGGTTCTCTCGTCAATGTTGGCGCCATGGTCCAGGAGAAGGCTGACTGTGTACACTTACCCTGGTTCTCTCGTCAATGTTGGCGCCATGGTCCAGGAGAAGGCTGACTGTGTACACTTACCCTGGGTCTCTCGTCAATGTTGGCGCCATGGTCCAGGAGAAGGCTGACTGTGTACACTTACCCTGGTTCTCTCGTCAATGTTGGCGCCATGGTCCAGGAGCAGGGTGACCATGTTGGCCTTTCCCCATCGAGCAGCGACATGTAGGGGGGTGATGAAGTTCTGCAGGGCAAGAATTGGAACTCATGAAGTCACTTTAAACCATTATTTGTAACAGTCTCCATAGTCTTAGTAGATGTTCTGTGTAGGTGATATATTAATTGGAACTCATGAAGGAATATGTCACTTTAAACCGTTTTTGTTACAGTTTCTATAATCTCAGTAGATGTTCTGTACAGTTGATATATGAATTGGAACTTATGAAGTGACTTTTAGTTTAAACCATTATTTGTAACAGTCTCTTCTGATGTTCTGTACAGCTGACATATGAATGGGAAGCTGTGAAGTAATATGTCACTCAAAGCCATTACTTGTAACAGTCTCAGTTATCTCATCCGATGTGCTGTATCGTTGATGTATGAATTGATACCTGCTTTTACATAGTCACACACATGTAGCAAAATCTCTACATGTCATGGGCTTGTTAAGAATATGCTGTGAAGTTGAAATACACAAATATATTCCAGATACTGCTGATCACAGACTGACAGCCTGGAGTATGCACATGTTACATTTTAAACCAGTGTTGTATTTGTATAATTATATCTTCTTCCAACCCAATGCCAAAGGCATCTTCAAACTCACCTTTGCTTTGAAATTGACATCTGCGCCTCTCTGAATGAGGAGGTTGGCCACGTTTGTGTTGCCGTAGTGGGAGGCGATGTGCAGAGGGGTGAAGCCGCTCTGGAATAGACAACATGGTATTTGAAACAGACATTTTGACATTTACATGAAAGAAATCTTTTAACAGCTTTAAACAGTATAAAACATAGTACCATTAGATGCAAACACTTTAGAAGCTGGCAAAAATTACCTGATCTTAATTTGACTGTCTTTGTTGTCTTACCATTGGCATAATTTCTGAAATGTTCTAATTTCTTTTAATAAAGAAATATCATTTCCTAAAACTCTAACACAAAGAATAAACAACATTCACTATCAAAGGGAATTTCAAGATTAGGGGTAAGAGAAATATATTAATACCATCTCAACCATGAAACAAAATAATTTTATTTTTGTGTTGGGTGATCTGAACAATCTTAAAGTTGTAAGGAGCATCAGAAGTTGTTAGGATGATGAAACCTATATTAAATATCGATCAATGATCTGGTGATATCGGCTTGACATGTAGTCATGAGGGGCACATGCTGAGCTGACTCCATGCACAAGAACTAGATGACAGGCTACTGACAAATACACACATCTACATGGCTTGAAAAACGGAGATAAAACTTCAATCTAAATCATTCAATTACATCTTGCAAACCTTGTTTTAAATCACACGTTATGAAAGTGTTTCAAGAGCCAAATATTGGCACATGTTTCATACTATCTTACACACTTCATTGAAAGTAAAATAATTAAGTTTTTATTGAATTATTTTTCTTTGTTCAAGATGTTTTCACTTTCAGTATTTTCTACTTAATACGTAACATACTTTTTTTTAAAGTACAATAATTTAGCTTATTTTAAATTATTTTTCATTGTTCAAGATAAGGAAGAGAAGTGATGGATGTCAACTCCATCACGAGGAACACAACCTTTCAGGGTACAAATTACTCCTTCATCAGGTAGAGAAATGTGACCTCTGAGCTTTGTTTTTACAATGTGTAAGATAATTCTCAATATTTATAGATGACTTGACCAACCTGTATGTTTTCAACTTGCTGTTGGAGAAATGGGAATCCCGTAATGTATGCGTGAACATATTTTGAAATTTGGACTGAAGTTTATTTACAGTGGATTCATTACATTTTTGTGTTTACTATTTCAAAAGTTTGTTTTATTTAACCCAGCCAATATTTTAACCAGAAAAATTGACATTTGCTACCAAAGTATGTTTAAGAATGACATTTGTTATGTTATCTATATAGGACTTGTAATCAATTATTTTTTTATCATAGGTACTAATAGTGGGTATATACCAAGTTCTGCCTGAGAGGCCTAGTTATGTGTTTTCTCGCCTACTCCAAGTAATGATTTACAAAACTGAATCTGTAGTCTTTCTGGAAGACTTGTATCAATATTTTTTTACACCCCAAACTTCACAATTGTATTACATTATTAATTCAATAAGGGTACTAACAATATTATTGCTAACTTTACCAGGATATCCAATCCATTGAAAGAAGACAGATCTATTCAAAACCAAAGACACAAAAGTCAGCAGGTTTTGTAACGCTCCTTAAGAAAGTTTGCATCAACATAGAACACCAAACAGAACTGAGAGAAAATATTGTGCTAGAAACATTATGAACTAAAACCTCTGACACAAGCAGTGTTTACTGTGTCAAGAACACAACACTAAATACATTCTATTGCTTCATGTGTTGATACAAAACCAGTAATGTTTTAAACCACATGATATTCTTGTCTGTTGTTTGTCCAGACAATATTTGAATGTATGATCAAATGTTGTAACTTTGTCTTAAAAGTTTGCAGAAAAACATATCACTTCTACACGATCCTTGCGTAAATACGCCCACATTTAATACCAATATGATGAAATCTGAAATAGGAGAGTGTTATATCTTGTCAATGTTACTTGAAATTCCTTCCATATTTTTTAGTCATTATCTTTGATCAATAATTTTGAAATTAAGCGTCATATCCACAGGACAGGGTTTCCGAAAGTTAAATAACCATGCAGCTTAATTATTGTGCATACATGCAAAAGTAACCACTATATACCTGAGACATTCAACACGCAAAGGCCTTGCACTAACGTTAAAATCTGATCTCATGAAATGAACATGCAATAAACATATGAACAAAAAGTTAAAACTACGAGAAATGAAACAAGGTGAACACAGGAAAACAACAGCAGTAAGATACACAGGGTGGACAAACCTTGGTTGTATCATTCACCAAACCTCCGCTCTGTCGAGTCCGGTGGAGAAAGTAGGGGCATGTTAGAGGCAGTCAGTGGTGAATTGTACACAATATATCAACACTGATGTTAGCTGTTGTCAGTACTACTGAGTGTAAATATCACACTATCATTCGGAAGAAATAAGAAATATCAGCTTGCATTCTTCTCGGAAAGAAACAACTTTGATGTATTGTGTTGTCATAAACCTTAATTAATATAAAAAAATATATTCTTGTGTGTATTTTCAAAATAATTTTATTACCTTGAAAAAAAAAGCTCTTCTTCACTTGCAAAAAAAAGTCACATCTGTCACTGTCAATATGTAGTTTTAATGGACGCACATGTATTGTAAAGGGAGATAACCAGGTGCGTACGCCAGACTGGGATACACATTGCTGCCACAAACCTCCCAGTGACTCTGACCCTGTCCACTGTTTCTGTGAGATGTGACATGTAACAAATCACCAGATTACAGACTGAAGATAAGCATATGCGCTTCTTTTCAAAGCTAATCCTTTCATTTAATCAAAGATAATAAACAAAATACCAACAAGTGTGAACAGACGACCAGCCATTTATCTTAAGTGTAAGCATGTCGGTGGGACAAGCTGATGACTCAACTCAACCCTGTTCTGTGGCATGAATCACATGTATCTAACGTATTCCTGAACAAAGTCAAGTCGGTTCTATGTAACAGCGGCCTGCAATCGAGTTAGGGCAAGGTGGGCTGGGTGTTAACATTGTTCCTGCTGTCTTTTGAAACTGCCAGTCCTGGTGTTCTTGCAGCTCATAGAATACCCAGTCCCCCCTAATTTTTAACAGTTCCAACTTTCAACAAATAAAGAAACGTATGCAAATCACAAAGTTCAGTCACAAGTTTCTCCTTTTTTTTTAAATATTTCGAGACTAAGACGCTACAAATATATAGTTAACCTTGAAGCAAAGCGGAATGTTATTTCCTTGCACTAAAAATAGACAAGGGGAAACCCTGATGGTAACAGACAAGCTGACTTCATTTAAAAGATGTTTTGTTCAAAAACAAAGATTTATAAGGTACATTATTTGCCGGTCCACAGGGACGGGCAGTCACATAAATAATCAGTCCAAGTCTAATTTTACCACTAAAAAAATGGTAATTACCATAAACGGGAACACTGGGTTAATAGAATGAGCAATGACCCTGTTCTTGTGATGGCTGACACACGATCAGAAGGTCACACCTTGTCACCACCCAGTTTACGCTAGCAACCTGTGTTAAAAACGTTTGAGTTTACAAGCCTGACCTTGTCTGAGCTTACTACAAGGGAAGATAATTTTTTAAGAGTTCTGCTTCAGACTAATGGCTAAACTTGTTGTCTCTGTAACAATCTTTGAATACCCCACTCAGACACAGTATACTGACTCCAAGCCGACCAGTCCTTGTTTTAGCCCTTTTATACTGAGCACCAGGCAGGGTAACAACAAGTGCAATCTTTTAAATGACTTTTGGTATGACGCGGCCATGGATTGAGCCTCCGATCTTCTGGTCTCTGGGCAGATGCTCTACCACTGGACCTACTGCATGGAGGGGCAAGTCATTTCATGCTAAAACCTCATCAAATCTTGACCTGTAGGACCCATGTTTGTGTTAGCAATGTGTATGTGTAATAAACTGTTTTACTGCAGCTGCTCAGTTTCTAGTTTCCCATTGTGCAATATTTACACTCAGTCATTGTTAAGTTATGAGATCATCAGTGGCAAGTAATGGTGCCTTATTTCAGGGAGCATTGAGAGGACAGAAGGAGAGAGAGAAGAGGAAAATGGCTCTCACTATGAGAAGAAAGAATGAGGTAAAAATATATGTTTCCACATTTTCAAAAGGCATTTTTTATGTGTGTTATCTTACTGTAACTTTACAGCATGCTTTGGCTCACAAATTTCACAAGTTCCCAGCTAATACAACCATGAAACTATATGCAAGGAGTATATTAAATGATCAAAACAAGCACATATTTCGACAACCACGCTTGTTGCAAGAAATATCCTGCTGAGCACGAGAAGATGCATGACAAAGACTCGGCCAGTATTACAAATGTCACGAAACTATCAATGAAAACAGGGTCCAGATTAACATGCTTCTTGGAAGTCCGAAAATAATGCAACTACTTTTAAAATCGACAACTTGTGTAACAACAACGAATGAATTTTGAAATGCAAGCAAAATGATGTTGATTGAGAGGCATTTTTCTATGTAGATGGTAGAATGAGGAAGACAATGAAAAAGAGAGACAGACTGAGAGAGGGAAAGAAAGAAAGAAAGAAAAAGGGAGGAAAAAGTGATATTGAGACAGTGGATTGATTGACATGTTTCAAAGATGGCAGTGAGATTATGTCATGTTAGAAGAATACAGCATTGTAACAAACAACTTGCGATGAGTAACATTTACAAATGTATGTTAGTCAGGCTGTATAATGGGAGATGCTTAAGATTATTAGAAGTCATACTTGTCAAATGGACAACAAATCTTGTAAGATAACAATCTAAGTCAATGGACGGCAGCCCCCAATATGCAGACAAACACAATAAGCAGTCTGCATCAGCACTGTCTTTCGAACTTTGGATTCACTTGTGTTCAAAGAAAATTCAAAATAATACTTATTACTCCAAAAATATTCACTATTTTAAGGATTGAAATAATTTTAAAAGGCACTGCATGAGAACAGAGTCTATCTCCTTTGGTCTGCCCAACAGTATAGTTTTCCCTTTGTTGTCCATTTGAAGTCATATATTCAGTGTGTACTGCGGCGTTTCTACATTGGTTTCTGGTCTGGTTTCGTTACCTTGGTTTCTGTGTTAACATTGTTCTGCTCGTTCTGCAGCAGCAGAGCAGCAGACTTGACATCATCCTTCTTGGCAGCAATATGCAGAGCAGGCAGTTTGACCTTGCCCTTGCTGTCGTGCTCTAGCAGAACGCTGACCACTCTGTCATGACCTTGCTGCAAGGCCACAGCCAGGGGGGTGAAGCCATCCTGGAAGAGACAACCATTAAAACATCAAACATCCATCCAATCAAACATCAAATACATCCATCCAATCAAACATCAAATACATCCATCCAATCAAACACCAAATTGATTCATCTAAGATGAATCAAACATCAAATACATTCACCTAATCAAACATCAAATACATTCATCCCAAACAACAAGAAAATTTATCCCATCAAACAACAAACACATTCATCCAACCAAACACATTTATCCAATAAAACATCAAATACATTCAGTCAATTAAACATCAAATACATTCATCCAACCAAACACATTTATCCAATAAAACATCAAATACATTCAGTCAATTAAACAACAAACACATTCATCCAACCAAACACATTTATCCAATCAAACATCAAATACATTCAGTCAATTAAACATCAAATACATTCATCCAATCAAACATCAAATACATTCATCCAATCAAACATAAAATACATTCAGTCAATTAAACATCAAATACATTCATCCAATCAAACATCAACTACATTCATCCAATCAAACATCAAATACATTCAGTCAATCAAACATCAAATACATTCATCCAATCAAACACATTTATCCAATAAAACATCAAATACTTTCAGTCAATTAAACATCAAATATATTCAGTCAATCAAACATCAAATACATTCAGTCAATCAAACATCAAATACATTCATCCAATCAGGGGCGGTCGGGTAGCCTAGTGGTTAAAGCGTTCGCTCATCACGCCGAAGACCCGGGTTCAATTCCCAACATGGGTACAATATGTGAAGCCCATTTCTGGTGTCCCCTGCCGTGATATTGCTGGAATATTGCTAAAAACGGCGTAAAACCATACTCACTCACTCATCCAATCAAACATCAAAAACATTCAGTCAATCAAACATTAAATACATTCATCCAATCAAACATCTAAATACATTCATCTACTCAAACATCAAATATATTCAGTCAATCAAACATCAAATACATTCAGTCAATCAAACATCAAATACATTCATCCAATCAGGGGCGGTCGGGTAGCCTAGTGGTTAAAGCGTTCGCTCATCACGCCGAAGACCCGGGTTCAATTCCCAAATTGGGTACAATATGTGAAGCCCATTTCTGGTGTCCCCTGCCGTGATATTGCTGGAATATTGCTAAAAACGGCGTAAAACCATACTCACTCACTCACTCACTCATCCAATCAAACATCAAAAACATTCAGTCAATCAAACATTAAATACATTCATCCAATCAAACATCTAAATACATTCATCTACTCAAACATCAAATGCATTCATCCAATCAAACATCAAATACATTCATCTAAGTTAAATATGTCACACTGAAGTTCTTACTTAATGTCTTAAATACACTTAGTCTGTATTGAACATGAATTATCACAAAAGGTACACATAATATGGCAAAAAGAACAGAACAGTAATATATATTTCATCCTTATAACAATATTTAGCATTATTTCAAACACAACAAACTAGAATCAAAAGTGGTTCTAGTTGTGCGATGAAAATAAATCACTTATATGCACTACAGGTAAATATTACCAGAACTGTTCTAATGGGCATCATTCTTTATATTCCCCATTAATATTCACTCGCATTACTCCCCAGTAGTGTATAATAAATCACCATGTTGCATGTGATAACTCTTCATAACCATCGTACAACATAATCCCGCCAGACACAAACTACTCGCCTGCATGTGAGGCAACTAGCCAGATTACAGCAAACAACGGCCAAGATGAACCAATTCCAGCGTGACATTGATTCCATACTAATCAATAAGACATAGCAACTGTAGAACTATCTTGGCAAGATAATGATCTTTCTGTGTGTTATCAACTGGGGATCAATCAGATAAATACTCCAGACTTATTGGCTGAATCTAGGAGATAGCCGCTGAGAATTACAGCAAGTGAGTCATGTTATGTGGAATCGGACTTGATCAGGATGCATGACCAATGACCAGCAGTCTCAGGCACTGCTCCCCTCCCTGGGTAAAATGCTGGAGGTTCTTAGTCCATAATGATGTGTCAATTACGTAGTGCAAGACTTCACGGCTACAGGCCTCTTAGATACCAAGATTGTATCAAGATGTATCGATACATGGTCTTCACTGCTCCAGGACCCCTCAGATAAGAGTGAGTGAGTGAGTGAGTGAGTTGGGTTCTAAGCCACTTTTAGCAATATTCCATTATCATTACCCCTGGAGATACACAATGTACCCATTACAGAAACAAACCCAGGTCTTCTGCGCGATGAGCGAACACATAAACCTTTAGGCTACACCATGGTGATGGCATCCCCTAAGATGTGGTGCATCAGAACAGATTATGAAAGTGATCATGTTTTCAGTTTGCAGTCAAGGATAGCATGGTCATGTTGAAGACAGGTAAGTATGAACACTACACCTACCTCAGTAGCCAAGCTTTGGTTGGCCCCATTAGCCAAAAGGAACTTGAGTACTTCGGAGTGACCCTCCTGTGCGGCCATGTAGAGTGGAGTAAAGCCAGCCTGCAACAGAAGCACTTAGTCAAAACAAGCAACACAGCACAACAGGAGTAGGAGTCATCTTCATGAGTCAGGGAATATGCATTTTACTTTGGGAATAAAGGTTGACTAATATTGTCCTACATGTAGACTCATCATTTTTCTTTGTTATCTTACATTACAAGTCTTATTCCCCTATTACCTACTAATATTCATCATATATCAAAACAATACTGTACTACTCAAAAGAAATTAAGAACACCCGATTTTTTCGAATACTGTCACTTTGTGTCCTTGACAAATATGGTTGTTATTGAATCAAAGCGACACACTTGGAACATTAGTTCCTTGTTTTTATAAAAAAAATCCATTTTAACAATTCTAATTTGTTCAGTGTTATTTAAAAGTTGTTATAAACAAGAGCAAGTTCTTTTGGATAAACGGTTCCTATATTACACGTAAGGCAATCTGTCTGTGTAGATCCTAACATCGTTACCAAGCAAGTGTAAAAAGTCATTGGAATCTACACTGAAACATTGCCTCAATTGAGCATAGTAGTTGTTTATTCACAAGATACCACTTTCTATTTTAACAGGTAAGTAATTGTTCCAACTTGAGCAGAAGATAAATTCATCACAAGATTTTCAGTTTGGACTATTTCGTGGCAGCATGAATATTTTCATGTCTTTGGTTCCACAATTTGGCCCAAACCACCACTACCCAAATGTATTTTTGTCAGCAATCAGTCAAATCGTACAAATATATGTCCAAGAAAATAAAACAATCACTGTTCTTTATCAATTGCTATTCTGGTCAGCATTTGGTTTTGTTCTTGTTTCAAAACATAGCTGTGATAGTTCTTTGTACCAAACGTCTGTTCCAGCCATTAGTGGGACACAAATCTGTCTTCACAAACAGCCTGCATCAAGCTTTAAGTCATTGGCCACTCCTCAGAACAATGTGATATCCATTACTGTACTTGCTGTATATTGTGTTTGGCACTGCAACAAGCCTCATGACCTTTCATCATTACCATCCCAAATACCTGGCTGCCAGTCTGCCTGGCACGCGTCACAGAGACTGGTTCCTGGTCTCATGAGTCTAGGCTGCCTGGCACGCGTCACAGAGACTGGTTCCTGGTCTCGTGAGTCTGGTCTGCCTGGCACGCGTCACAGAGACTGGTTCCTGGTCTCGTGAGTCTAGGCTGCCTGGCACACGTCACAGAGACTGGTTCCTGGTCTCGTGAGTCTAGGCTGCCTGGCACGCGTCACAGAGACTGGTTCCTGGTCTCATGAGTCTGGTCTGCCTGGCACGCGTCACAGAGACTGGTTCCTGGTCTCGGAGTCTCGGCTGCCTGGCACGCGTCACAGAGACTGGTTCCTGGTCTCGGAGTCTCGGCTGCCTGGCACGCGTCACAGAGACTGGTTCCTGGTCTCATGAGTCTAGGCTGCCTGGCACGCGTCACAGAGACTGGTTCCTGGTCTCGTGAGTCTGGTCTGCCTGGCACGCGTCACAGAGACTGGTTCCTGGTCTCGTGAGTCTAGGCTGCCTGGCACACGTCACAGAGACTGGTTCCTGGTCTCGTGAGTCTAGGCTGCCTGGCACGCGTCACAGAGACTGGTTCCTGGTCTCATGAGTCTGGTCTGCCTGGCACGCGTCACAGAGACTGGTTCCTGGTCTCGGAGTCTCGGCTGCCTGGCACGCGTCACAGAGACTGGTTCCTGGTCTCGGAGTCTCGGCTGCCTGGCACGCGTCACAGAGACTGGTTCCTGGTCTCATGAGTCTAGGCTGCCTGGCACGCGTCACAGAGACTGGCTCCTGGTCTCGTGAGTCTATGCTGCCTGGCACGCCTCACAGAGACTGGTTCCTGGTCTCATGAGTCTAGGCTGCCTGGCACGCGTCACAGAGACTGGTTCCTGGTCTCGTGAGTCTAGGCTGCCTGGCACGTGTCACAGAGACTGGTTCCTGGTCTCGTGAGTCTAGGCTGCCTGGCACGCGTCACAGAGACTGGTTCCTGGTCTCATGAGTCTATGCTGCCTGGCACGCCTCACAGAGACTGGTTCCTGGTCTCATGAGTCTAGGCTGCCTGGCACGCGTCACAGAGACTGGTTCCTGGTCTCGTGAGTCTAGGCTGCCTGGCACGCCTCACAGAGACTGGTTCCTGGTCTCATGAGTCTAGGCTGCCTGGCACACGTCACACAGAGACTGGTTCCTGGTCTCATGAGTCAACAGTTAATGATTTTTTTCTTTTAACATATATTCTATAATATCTGATATTACATAATGCAATTCTGTCCTCTAAATCTCTTTGTTTTACCCTGATGCTGATTTCATTTGAAATAGGGCTGCATATTGTGCCAAAGACTTTTGAGGCCACTAGCCTAAATTTGGCCTACTATTTGAGCTTACTAGACAAAACCGAATTTTACTACAATCAGGCTTCGGGCTAGTGGCTGAAGTGGCAGACTAGAGCTGGCTAGACTTGCTCTCTCATAACCTAGATTGGTTTTGGTTTTCATAAAATACATATATTCAAGTCTTTATGCACATCAAACTTTAATTCTGCTACATGAATATATCTGTGGTACATATTTCAAGCCTTAATAATACTTCATCATATAACCCACTTTTCACCTTGCAAACTTTGGCATATTGATATTCCCTTTTATTAAATTTTAACTTTGTGTGTTTGATCAAGCAAAACTTGTTTTCCAAGCTGGAAAAAATCCAATTTCTCTTTCAATGATAAAAACTGCTCCACTTCAAAAGCTCTTTCACACAATCACGGCAAAGCACTAACCTCTCGATCAAACCACCGTGTCTAAAATCCTTTACCAACTGAATTCAAATAAACCAATAACTTTCCTTTCAATATTTCCAGCAATTTACACATGCAGTTTTCCACTTTCCTTGAAGTCAGTGCCCTTTGAATTGCCATTGCCTCACAAGGCTGATCCCACTATTCTGTGCCAAAAGAGGCTGCAGTATGTTCAGACACTCTCAAGTACGAGGTCAAGCAGTGTGCTGGTTCATTCTCCAGGTGTAAGAATGCTATGTCTAGCTGCTCGCTCACTCGGGCGTTGCTAGCCGTGAGTGAGAGTGAATGTAGTTTTATGCCACAGTCAGCAATATTCCAGCTACACAACAGCCTGTAAGTCAGTATAGGTCGGTCGGGAAAACAATCCGTGCTCTGGGGCACAAGGAAACAAAGAGTAACCTTCCATCACTTGAGTCAGCTTGGCTGTTGGTAGCCCTTTGCTAGCTGTAACCATCAGTCAATCAAACTCAGATGTCAGAAGTCCATTATTTGCTAGTACAGAGTGCTATAGAGTGATGTCAAGGGTTATTGTTTCACCGTATGACAGCAGTGTGGAAGTAGTAGTGAAGCCTGGTGAGACAAACCACTAGTTCCCATCATGTCTGATGTGGTTTTCCTTGTTGCCATCACTTGTTTGTTGTTGTTTTTTAAAGCCACAGTCAGCCATATTCCAGCTATAACATGGTGGCCAGTCAGATATGGGTTCTGAGCTAAACAAACCAGTGGCTGATGCTATGAGCAACGTCCCATGCTGCTGGAGTACGATGACATGCAATCCACCAATTCACTGAGTCACTTCTAACAACCAGCAATGGAATGTTGAGGAAGGAGAGGGCTAGGAGATGATGCATTATGTCTCTGAGTAACACAGTGTTGTGGGTGGTGCAAGAAGCAGCTAGGGCTGCATGGACGTTCATCCTCGAAGCCTCACAGGATGGTCCAGGTGGCGCCACCTGTAGGACTATGTGAATCAGCATGATGATCTAAGACAGGAAGAAGTCCTGGATTCATGTTCCTGATTCAGCGCCTACCTTGAATCCCTCCCTTGAGTCCCTCCCTTGAATCCCTCCCTCGTGTGATACCAGAAACTGCAGCCTTTGCTAGCAAAAACCTCAGATGAATTAATACCCACAATTCCATATGAGCATCCAAATCTCCATAGGAATCATAATTCCCCTTCGTGCCACATGGTATAGGGATAGAAATTCATTCCTATTTTCACTAAACTGCAAAATTATCTACTTTGCAACTGCCTGCGACATAATGGAAAAAGTGGTCATTAAGAAATGCACTTCCTGAATTTAAATCAGACAAGTGGACTCATTTTGAACCCAGCTGTACATATTTTATTATTTCTGTATCTTTGATTTGGATATTTATTTTGTTCAATTGAAGAAGTGTTGCCACTGAACTGTAATGGAGGTTAATGCGATAAACGTAAAAGGGTCACTCTTGACAGACGTGTTGGAGTATCAAGTCAAACATAGCCTCATATACTTGATAGCATATGGTGGGACATTATCATGAATTCCAATATGAATGTACTAATATTTAGTATTCCTCTTCGAAATGAGATACTATTATCCACACAGAGATCACATTACATGCACAGCGTCAGGGACAGATGGATGATCGGACCTGTTAAACAAGCATCTCCACTGCCTCTGTAACAGCAAGAAGCTGGCTGGGTAATGGCCTCCTCTTCTCACTGAGGTAGGAAATATGAGGGTTGTCAGCTGTTCGTTGCTTGACAAACTGTGATGGAATAGGTTTTGAACGTGGACAAGATACAGATGTTGAGTGTTCAGCGTGCCTCCTGTCTGGGAGATTGGCCTGGTAAACATGGTACATGTGTTGATCCTCCACTGAACCTGCCACTCAGGTACATTCTCAGGAGGTCAGACGAACATTTAGTCCCAGAAATAATCTTATCTCATTCACAAATATATTTCTTTAAAATATAAAATTAAATCCAAATGGAGCCCAGAACAATGGTTTTGGTGTAGTAAGCTCTGCTTACAGTAGTCCATATGTTTACACTAGCCTATTTGTAGTAATGGCGCCAAATGGTTGGGACAGAAGGATCTAATCTGTTGTAGTTGTGACAATAGTCTTGGATGTTTACCACTTCTGTGGAACCGGTATGGTGCTAACAAACCTAGAATCCTAAGCAGGGTGAATCTGGGATTCGAACCCATGGTCATAGCGTTCGAATCCCACAGATTCAGGCATATCTATGGGACACAACCTTGCACTTCGAATTGTGGCACCTTTGACCACTGGGCCACCTATACCCCTTTATAACTGTATGTAACATCAGGATAATATTTCTTGCATTTATTCGATCATATTGCCATCCACTTGTTCTTGATCGAGGGATAGGCAGGCTGATTGTTTGTTTGTTTGTTGTTTAACGCCGCACTCAGCAATATTCCAGCTATATGATGGCGGTCTGTAGATAATTGAGTGTGGACCAGACAATCCAGTGACTGACATCATGAGCATCAATCCACACAATTGGGATACGATGATATGCATCAATCAAGTCAACGAGCCTGACCAGCCAATCCTGTTAGCCGCCTCTTACGACAAGCATCGTCGTCTGTTACGGCAAACATGCGTTACTGAAGACCGATTCTATCAGGATTGGCAGGATGGTTGACTACAGTTGCATGTTGCACGTTGTACGTTGTATGGTGACAATGGCCTACCTGAGCTTGTACGTTGACTCTAGCTCCATTCTCGGTAAGAATCTTGATGATATCTTCGTGTCCGGCAAGTGACGCAATGTGGAGGGCAGTGTTTCCTTTCTGAAATACACAACCCACATTTCACATCAGTCATCAGTGGAACTGAGAAAGGGAGAGAAAGAGAGAGGGAGAGAAGAAGAGAGGTTCCTGAGGATTTGCTTCTACAGTAGTTGTATCTAGAGTCCCCCTAAATCTGTAGTGTTACCATCAGGGTTACAACAAGGGCCCCTCGACTTTAATGGTCAATTTCAAACACTGGGATACAACACTGGGATATAACACTGGGGCATAACACTGGGGCATAACACTGGGATATAACACTGGGATATAACACTGGGATATAACACTGGGATATAACACTGGGGCATAACACTGGGATATAACACTGGGATATAACACTGGGATATAACACTGGGGCATAACACTGTCATGTGGGAAATATTCAGCCATGATATTATGTACCCCGGCTTTTATCTGCAAGTCATTTATAACATGTGCAAAACATTTCTCTGATTTTATCTCACAAGATGTAGCCACCTACTTCATGACAGTTTTAGTCTTTACAATTTTAGTGTAAAGTCATAGTCTTTATATCTCAATCAATAATATCCCAAAATATCAATCCAATAGTGAAAATTAATAACATTTTCTTATATTATTTCAATGACAAGTTCTCAATCTAATTGTCCTTAGTTTTCAAATACAGATAAGAACTTTTTTGTTGATTCAATGCACCAATCATCAACAAAGTCCATCTTCTAAATTTACCTGTTTACAAAACCTTGTCTCTACAATGCGAGGTACAGGTGAAGCGTGTGTAACTACACAACTGCTATTGTCAGTTGTCATCTATTAATGGGCAGCTAATCTCCTGTCATCCTGTTTATTACGACAATCACTGCTCAGCCATTACATGTGATCATATGGCTCGTGACTACGACTAATCAGTTGTAAGTGGATCCGGACATGCCTTATATTTGGTAAGAAGTATGACCTTCAGGATGACCTTATACTCATCAAATTTCCGTATACTGACATGGAAGTAATTTGTCTGAAAGTGATCTTAATGACCCAATCATATCATTTCAATGAAAATGTTATCAAAATTGATATAAATTTGTTACCAAAGAGCAAGAAAATATCAAAATTGATAAATAATACACAATATATTACAGGACCAATAACGCCCAAAACATAATTCAACATATCATGAAAAGTATCTATTTCATCAAATTACTCCTTCTAAACCAACTGATCTCCTATTCTTCAGCTTAAAGCTCTGCACGCTAACGTCGAACCCATTCGACAGAGGTGTCTATCCCCGTGCATCTGATGTCGAACCCATTCGACAGGCGAATAGCATAACAACACCCCAAAATAAAACTCGCCATATCTATTTACCGAGAAGGCTTTGCGTAACATTTAAATTACGTATGACATGCATAAATGCTCAGCTTGCTCAATATCAAATGTTCAGTCATTTATTTACCTCAAAAAGAAAATATCGCGAGTTTAAAATGTTTCGGCCAAACTTCTCGGCACACAACTACCAGAAACGGCCATTGTTGACTTTTGGCACTTCACGTTGAGCGGCATGCAGTCCGATATTTTCTTTATAATTTCATCATTTTTCCTATTCGATCATAATTTTTTGTTTGCTGACGAAAGGAAAACACCCATGTTCCTTTATTTCTAAAAATTAGCAACTTTCGGTGTAACTAATTGTAAACAAAAACAATCTGAATCGTAACATCATCGATTGGATGGAACTTGTACGATCATGGCAACGGCGGTAAACAAACAACTCCACATGCATAGTTATCCCGTTAGACTATTACAATCATTTTGTTACATCTAACTTAATTTTCTAGAATTATTGACACGTATGTATAAATCTTTGTAAAAAGAATTTCATTTTTAAAGAGTTTGCAAATGATTTCGTTTGATAAACTTTCCGACACATTGACAAGCCGACAAACGTCAGTGATACGTTTGGGCGTGGCCTAACTCGCGATTTGTTGAGTTGAACAAAGTCAACACACACTGCGAAAAATGACAAATATTGAATGAAACGCAAAATCTGAACTGATATACATTCTAGGTAAACCATTCAATAGCAAAATAATGCATTTTACGAGAAATAATCAAAATACTTGCAATTTTAGCTATCATTTCTGAAACCGGAAGCACGTACCGCATGTGACACATGGAAGCAAAATATGCAAAAGTTGGTAAGCTATCATAAAGAAATTCCGAAATAGATTCAAATTCAAAAGAAAATACATAATTTACTATTTATTGATATGGAGAGCAATCTTCACTCCTATTTGTTTCATATTTCTTCGTGATTGTCGCCATCAAATGTGTAAGTCTAAATCCGAAACCGTAATGGATTTCACGCTCGATGATTTTAATTTTAAAATATTTTCTAAAAACGAACGCAACGGAGAGCGATACAACGTATTGATAATATTGCCATAATAATAACATAATATTGTTATTGGTCTAACATTACAAAAAGAACAATTTAAATATTAAAGATGTTGTTGAAAACTTTCTGAGAACCTCCCGTCCTCTGAACCGATAACATTTTGGTACACAACGAGGTGTAAATATATATAGATTCTAGGCTCCTATTTATATATATATATGTGATTTTGTACCCAAAACAAATTAAATTGTACCCAAAATACTTTGTGCATTTGTACCTAAGAAAATAAGACAATAATCTATAATTATATTTATGTTTTCATGTAGATGAACAGAACACATAATAAAATATTTCATCAAGTTCCAAATATGATTATGACTGTGATCCTTGAAATTGATTGTTTAGTTTTGAGAGAAAATTGACGTCTTGTCACAGAAGGAGAGGCCAGTTATTTTGGTTAAAGTAAGAATGAATTGTTTTGATAGGAAAGTGATATTATGTTAAGTTTAAGACACCAAATTAATGTATATCTTTGAAATAATTCTAGGTAGATCTACAAAATCACATACCCATTTGGGTAACAAATTACTAGAAATTTTGGGTACAAAAGTCACCACTGTACATTTCAACTGATTTTCGTGAATCAATGGGATAAAAAAATTTCGTATGAATGATTCCTTTTCTCATTTTTTTAAGACAAGAATTTGTTTTACATAACAAAACAGGCAGATCTACACGGATCACATTTAGTCCTAAAAAGGTGAAAAATATGGACACCTCAGAAATGAGGGCTTATAAGGTTATAATTCTACCTAACTAGTCACATGGTTTGACTTAGATCTAGGTCTATCTAAGAAAAGTCCTTATGAAAATCTTTTTTAATTTTTTTTATGACACTGACATTTCTGGCACTTAGACAAAGAGTATTCAAGGAAAGACAGATATGTTTTTGAATGAAAATATGACTTTCCTTTATAATTCTTTTTTCATGATGACAGGGGAACTTTTATACACACCAGCTGAGGAAGTTGTGATACTGTGATTGCATACAAAGAAAAAACAGGTTGGAAGCAGTACCTGTATGTATAAAATAGACCACATAAGGTGAACAAAAGTAATGGATTGGCTGACTGGAAAAAATACATCTGGCAAGGGTAAACATGTACACAGGCATGTTTCTTTTCATTCCAACCAGAAGACTGAGATAGCATTTTCTAAGAAACCTATGGCAAACTTACCAGCTCATGTGCCACCATGGTTCTTGTGATTAAACAAACAAAAATGTCATGTACTGTTACAAGTACTGTTACTGTAATTGAATTAAATTAATTCCTATTAAATTATATTTCAGAATTGTTTTATTTGGAAACAAACCACATAATGCACAAGATTAATGTCCATATGAGTTTAGTATGTATATGTTAAGGATCTGATTTATTCATTATTCATGGAATACTAAAATTAAAATGATGACATCAGAGAGTTACTTATTCACATAGTTGATTTTCAGAGTGCAAGATAATAATTGTTGTATAAATATGTTTAAACTAAAGATAATAATTGAAGTTTGATCAGTTACACTGTGCTGATGCAAAGACTAATATTTACTGTCCCCACACACCATCATTGTGGGAAAAATAACTATTAAATATAACTTAAAATTTTAAAACCTGTAAACAGCTGTAAATAATTAAACAATTACAAATCTATCATCAATGCGCAATCATGGTGGTCTTCATATTTTTGGAATAAATTTAGAAATCCTTCGTGAAACTGTTCTAAAATCATGCTAGAATCTATGAATGTATTCCCGAAAGGAAAACTATCCTAAATGTAATGTGGAACTAACACCGAAAATATGTACGTAGCATTTTATTGCTTATATATACCCTATCATATTCGGCAACGCGGGGATGTAATTTTGAAACAAGTTTTGTCAAGCCCATTTTCGCGCACCTGTTAAAATTGTTGAGGGTGATCTTGCTGATCGATGATATCCATAGACGTATTGCGTGGGATACACTTGTTGTAGTGAAACTTATCAGCATGTACATCGCAGAAATATGAATCATGTCCCATTTATATTCACAACATTGAATGGTGATTTTTTAAATATCAACAGAAGTTCAAATAAAAGATACCGAGAAACTTGCATGTGGCATGTTGATTTATCGTCTACCGTTTCCGGGTCACGGGAGCATGCAAGGTCAAACGGATTAACTAATACGCGAATTATATCGTCAAAGTCACATTTTTATTTCATGTTAGTGGTGATTACTGATACTGTGTATCGACTTATATTTTTGCTGTATGTGATAGGCGAACTATTTCAAAATTTACTGTAATTGTTTTGTTTCGAAAGCAGACTACCCCTGTCTGTGACATCACATCCGGTGACCTTTGCACTTATTGAAATAGTGCTGTCAGAATTCACGATCTTTATTTTCATTTTTCTCTCGTCATATTTATTGGAATATGACGAATAAAACATTCTTCGATTGAGAAGATCGTCAACTTTCGTTAAGTTATATTTATAAAGGCAATGTAAACTTTGTTGATATTAAAATAGCAATAAGTTATGCGGAGGTCGGGCGAAGCGCGCCATGTTTGATTTTAGGACGTCTGCTAGCATCATGACACGGGTTGTTTATTTTTGTATATCGTAAATATTCAACCAAAACGCTTGAAATTAGGATTAGTGAATATTTATAAGTCATTAATTGTTTCCTGCAAATTTTATAACATGACACGTCAGATTTACCCGAATATTCGTATTTCTGCAACCGACATGATGACCTCGAAAATTAAGTTATTTTTCTGTTTAACGTTTAGATAATAAATTCACTGAAATGGTTCATAATTTACCATCGCGCTGATATGTGCCGATTATAAAACCCGAATTTTTACTCAATTAAAATTAAGATATCGGAGATATGATTATTGAAATCAATTTGCAAAAATGTTACGATATTAAAAGGTTCCTAGCATGAAATGCAAACCACCTTCAATAACGCAATTCAGGTAAGTTCAAGAAAATTTACAAATTTTGTGTTCGTTTTGGTTTAAACTTTGGTATAATTGAAAACACCAGGATATTTTTATATAGAATTGTGTAGTTTTCTATCAGGAATAAATGTGCAAAATATTTCTTCAATTGGCCATTGTTTAATGAGGCACCGACTGTTTGAAATCACCCACCCTCTTTAGAGCGCCTTATGCTAAAATTAATCCAGCAGGCAGGGGTAAGAAGTGTGAAAATAATTCAGCAGGCTAAAGGTTAAGCAACCCATTATCCCCTGTACCTGAAAATATTAAAACATTTTTAACTATTTCAAAAATTATTCAACTCATCAAATTATTTTATTAACTCAACATTGATCTAGTGTTCTACAGGTAAGTGACAACCCATGTCCCCTCCACCTGAATGAACTGTCCCGTGGAAGTCCCCGGTAAAGCCTATATGTGTCAGTGTTGCACTGCCACACCACAAAGTGGGTCACCGTGGCCACACGAGGCCACACTGACATTGAGCCTGCCCACTGCGAGGTATTGGATCTCAATGGAAACTTCATTCAATGACATTTACACAACACGTTTTCTATCCATGCCCGTATATGTCCTCTGGTATAACCTTCCTCTGATTGCATTCCATATACCGACTCACAGTATGTGCCGAGTACAGAGATACAGGCAAAGAGCATGGGTGTGTGTACACTGACACTACTCAGCAGGGCGATACAGTCATGACATGATAAGTTTCACAAAATGCTACGTATCATGCTACAGAAAGAATGACACAAGTTGATATATTTGATCCGCAGTTCACAGTTTTGGATGACAGTTTATGAAATGCAATAACAGATGGCCAAACACTGAAATATGTAGACCAACATTTACTCAATGGAATGTTTTATTACACAAAACTCTCTAATCAATTCTTTTTTGCTATCAGATGACGACTTCATGGTACAGAGCTGGCTAGAATTACTTTTGTTTAGTCTTGTTCATTATTGTTTCCCAAATACATATATTTCACAGGTATGGCGCAGAACTGAAAAACTGCATGCCCTGAAACTATCTGTGCACAGCCATAAGAAAGGTAACAAAGTAAGTGCTTGGCATATCTTTGTATCAACAAGTCAACCTGAAGTAGATACTGAACAATAGTTGTACTAAAATTGCATGTATCATGATTTTTGCCACCCTTAGCAAATACACTGACAATTGATAACTTGGGAGAGTGTTATAATGTAGAACCAGTCAATCCATTCTTCATGCTACATATTCATTGAATAGAGAATGTCTTCCCCACCTCTTTACTCCCTATATTTGTCTGTTTTAACTATTTCTTCATTAGCATATTTAATGGGAATATCACAATTTCTTACAATGAACTATGGGTAATAATTGACAAGACAGTAAAAAAAATCAAAATACAAAAGTCAATTTCATCCATTATGAATACAGTAAATTACAGTTATAATGAACTGAAAGGGACCACTAATTTTAATTTGTTATAACCGTAGTTCATTTTAGGCATATATACAGCAAATGACTGGGACAAAAAACAGTTCCTTACATCCGTCAGTTCGTTTTGAGTGTGTTCGTTATACATGTAGTTTACTGCACATATAACAGAGAGTGATTTCATTTCTCCTCATCCATGGCAATATAACAAGAAATTGCCAAGCTAAGTTGTCCTTGCCCTCCAGGAGTTAGGAGTTAATTTTAAAACAAATATTCTATTTTCCAGTTGTACTGACGATAGTATCTATGATAATAGACATGTGCGAGCATCTCCTGCAGGCTAAGAGCGGCCATACTGTAGCTGTTATTCTGCCCCTCGGGCAAAGTAATGGCATCTTTCTCAAGTCTCCTTATCCCTTTACCGTTCTCCTTATACAAAATCATCACCCATTCACTACACAAGATTCCTTTTCACCACATTCTTCCCCTGTCAAAGGACATAATATGTTTAATCTTCGAGTCAATTACTTTGGTAACATCTATGTCCATTGACTACGCATACGTGAGCTTGCAAACAATGTGGACAATGTCCGAGTGTATTAGGGTCACAGTGGACAATGTCCAGGTGAGGTCAGGACAAACCAGGTATGTTAGAACTGTAAAGGGTAGGGACTTGACATTGACCCCAGTAGGAGATCATTTTGTATAGGACAGGCTCGGCTGGTTTTCTCCTTCTGTCAGTGATTTAGCACAAGCTGTCAAAGTAGTATTGATGAGACTAAACTCATCACATGTTGAAGAAGGTTGAATAATATGGGACTATTTCATCATATTTGATGTCAATTTTACTAGATTTATTACACTTTATCATACCTCCATGTCAGAATTATGAGATCTGATTGGTCCATGTGATCTTGATAAAATACTGTGTCGCCTTGGAGGGGGAAAAATTTCTCATCGGGGTAATAAATCTCTTATACCCCAAGCAACTCAGGCTGCACATGGTTTTCTGAGAGGCAGTATATATCCCTTATACCCCGCTTCAAAGCAAAAAACTGCACCCTTTTTCCAAGTGAATAGAAGTCACTTGACAGAGCACAAGCTAACCTCAACTCAAGCTCTGCTGTTTTCTATCAGTTTTGAATTTGTTTGAATTATTTTACAATGTCATATTAAAACATGTCGGTATGATAGATACGGTGTAGCAGGATCACGTGAGGTACACAGGGCTCATGGTATAAAACCTAACGTGAGATCCTGCTACAACTCATATTGTCAAATTTGATGTCAGTTCTGTCAAACTTTAAAAGTTGCACATACAATAATAATTTTCCACGACTAACAATTGCAGCAAAAACCTTCTCTGATCACTTTTTTATAATAATATATAAATTTACCATAGCATCATTTTTTAAAGGAAACTTGCAAATGAACATATACTGATGGAAGTAAGACGTTGAACCATACCAACCCTAAGATGATAAGATATTGATAACGAGGCGATGTATCAGATACTACATATCACCGCATCCATAAGCTCATATCATTATCATTATCATTATTTGCTTTTGTGGAAAGAGAGCTATGCCATTTAGAGTTCCCAAAAGGTAGATTACTCTGCCAAAGAACCCAAAGGGCAGATAACTATGCAATTTTACCCAATGGGCAGATGCTATTGTACCCAATGGGCAGATAACTCTGCTATAGTACCCAATTGGAAGATAACTCTGCTATAGTACGGTGTACTCAAAGGGGAAGTATATATTCTCAATATCTATACCCCATTTCTTAAATGTAAATAGTACCCACCTTAGTTGCAGCCTCCACGTTGGCGCCACGGCGCAGCAGTTCAGTGACGATGTTGACATGGCCTTCCTTGGATGCCAGATGGAGAGCATTCAGGCCATTCTGAAACACAACACAGTATCTGTAATGTCAACATCCTGTACCTAACTATTCCATTAGGGGAAAGAAATCAACCTTAATGTATTGCTCAATCAATGTATATAGTGCTGGCTTGCCATAAACAATGCAAAGGTTTGATTTCTCAATATTGCGTACGAAGCCAATACCTTTTCAAAGCATTAACAAAACTGGTCAGCGCTAGTGGCTACTGCTAATTTCCATCCCTGGAAAGCCTTTATTTTTACTGGAGTTTCAAAATCTCCAATATCCAAGATAGACACACAACTGTACCCAGACAAGTTGGTGAATGCAATAAAATAGTTACAGAATGTGCCAGTGCATCCCTGGGACGTAGACTGCCATCCAAACAATGCAGGTTAAATCAAGCCCAGCAGCCTCTTCTACTTCAGTCCTTCATGTTCCATTCATACAATGTACTGCCACACGTTCCCTGCCGTACTTAAAGCTCAGCCCACTGTCTTGTTCCATTCATACAATGTACTGCCACACGTGTACTGCCACACGTTCCCTGCCGTACTTAAAGCTCAGCCCACCGTCTTGTTCCATTCATACAATGTACTGCCACACGTGTACTGCCACACGTTCCCTGCCGTACTTAAAGCTCAGCCCACCGTCTTGTTCCATTCATACAATGTACTGCCACACGTGTACTGCCACACGTTCCCTGCCGTACTTAAAGCTCACCCCACTGTCTTGTTCCATGATAACAATGTACTGCCGCACATCCCCTGCCGTACTTAAAGCTCAGCCCACTGTCTTGTTCCATGATAACATTGTGCAGCAGACATTTCTATGACATGTACTGCCACACATCCCCTGCCGTACTTAAAGCTCAGCCCACCGTCTTGTTCCATGATAACAATGTACTGCCACACGTCCCCTGCCGTACTTAAAGCTCAGCCCACCGTCTTGTTCCATGATAACAATGTACTGCCACACGTCCCCTGCCGTACTTAAAGCTCAGCCCACCGTCTTGTTCCATGATAACAATGTACTGCCGCACATCCCCTGCCGTACTTAAAGCTCAGCCCACTGTCTTGTTCCATGATAACAATGTACTGCCGCACATCCCCTGCCGTACTTAAAGCTCAGCCCACTGTCTTGTTCCATGATAACATTGTGCAGCAGACATTTCTATGACATGTACTGTCTGCATCTCATTGAACTATAACTGTATGCTAAAGTATTGCATTAGACAAGACCAATCCCAACCCCAATACCTCTTCCTCCACCCAGTCATAATTCGGAATAGAATTGGTCTTCAGCAACCCATGCTTGTCGTAAGAGACCACTAACGGAATCAGACTCGCTGACAAGGTCATCATATCCCAATTGCGTCAGATCAATGCGCACGATGTCAATCACTGGATTGTCTGGTCCAGGCTTCATTATTTACAGACCGTTGTCATATAGCTAGAATATTGCTGAGTGCGGTATTACACAACAAACAATCACATAAAACATGTATTTATTTGAATACCCACAACATGAACACAAAAAAGCTACAAACAAAAATGATGAGACAAGAGCCGATGGCTGTGCTTCACACAACAGGGCCATGCACTGAGCAGGAGAATCCACCGGATTGAGGCAGGGGGTCCTGGAATGTGATATATAAGATATTCCACACTGTCACTTAGTTCTGCAGGTTCTGGAGATCTCAAGGAATGGCCATTTCTGCACAAACAGCATTCACATGTCATTAACAGAGGCCCTTATCTATGATTTTGAACCAACTGTCTCTAGCAGTCAAATTGGGGGGGGGGGGGGGGGGGGCGAGATCTTTATTTTGATCAAAGGTTTTTATTTTCTAAAATCAGATGTATTTTAACATTGTATTTAATTGCATTGAATGCAATAATATAAAACTAAGCATTAACACCTCTACGTCAGCAATATTCCAGCATTACAACAATGGCCTGTAAAAAAAAAAAAAAAAAATCGAGTCTGGACCAGACGATCCAGTGATTGCAATCATCAACATGGATCTACGCAATTGGGATATGATGACATGCATCAACCAAGTAGCCAAGCCTGACCACACGATCCCGTTAGTCACTTCTTATGACAAGCACGGTTTGCTGAAGATCTATTCTAAACCGGATCTTTACGAGTCTTCTAATGGGTCCTGTTATCAGTGAAATACAGTTTACCTCTTAAATGCCATAAAGTAAGTTATTACATATCACCATGACTTGGGAAGTTTTAATGACATTTGTTGCAGATTTGAGGCCGTCTATCAGCCTCTGAGCAGGTCGACATTAACACTCATACACTGTTGTAAAAGATTATTGCATGAGAAGTCCTTGAGGCTCTCTAAACCATACGCACATCACAATTATAGGGAGTAGGTGTGAACCGATTTTCTGTCATCGCAACATATCCCATACATGGGGGAAGAAAACTAGACGTGACGCTAGACGTGACGCTAGACGTGATGCTGGTCGTAGGTGTTTACCACAGAATATAAACCTCAAGTGATGTCATCCTATTGTTCTCCAGTCAAATTCAAATTCAAAACAGGAATGTAATAATATCCCGAGGATTTTCTATAATATCACAGGAATTTTATTAATACCACTTCCGTGCATAATGTAACATATGAATGTTTCTCGCTAGAAATTTATTTTGCATTTGAAGATAATGTAGTGACATGTAAAATCCAATGACAAATGTTTTCTTTATATTCCCATGGATCGAACATGCAACCTCCATATCTGCAGCCCACTGAGTGTACCACTACACTATGTGAACTTCAGCAGGTATTTATAGGAGATACCAAATATAGACCATCTGACACTTCCAGTTTGTCCATAGCTCCAGCCATCACTATCTTCCTAAGGCTTGATACAACATAGATGACGTTACCCTTTCCAAACTCAGGCTAAACAAAGCAAAAACAATCTCTGGGAGTACATCATGATGCAACCATGAGAAAGTGTTCCAGTAAACAGCAGTGAAGGTAGATACATAAACCGACTGGTAACGAGAGATTCAAGTGGGGTCTGAAAATAGCTTAGTCATCCTTACACACAAATAGACCAAAATATGCAGCGGAAGGAATACATGCAACATGAGGCTGTTGCTGGCTTACAATATATTTACCACCTTGCAGTAATCTCTGACAACTACACTTCATGTTCGAGAAGACTTTTCATCACGTTCCACAAACACACCCAAGCTCAAATCAAATATTCCTCATCCACTGCATATAAATCACAATTCTACAGCCACTGTCCTTGACATACCATGATGGATGTTGTCATTCCACCATTACAATTACACACATTCTAATAACACTGATGACAGCATACTTTTTTTTTGGCTCCATTTTCGTAACCCTGATTTTTTCGGTAACCATAGTAATAGTGCTTTTTCTTCAGGCAGAGTGTCAAGTAATATAACTCGCAAGACACAGGTTCTACTTTTTGTTTCATTGTGTCATGCACTATCTGGTACATTACAGTCTGGTTGCTTGGCAACAAGACTTGGCGCCAGGGATTACCTGTGGTATTGCACATGCTTGAATGCACAGCTCAGCATCAATAAGCAGGGTTCCCTTGGTGCAGGGTGATCAATAGACGGCTGTAGTAATTGTGATCACTCCTCTGGGTAATTGGTCAGGTTAACAGCTGTTCTAGTGCTACCCATTGTCAATGCTTCGCTTCTTTTTCAGTAAAAGAATATTTGCTCCACTGAATGAAGACAATATTGATAAGAGTGAGTGAGTGAGTTTGTTTTTGACGCCGCTTTTAACAGTATTCCAGTTATATCACGGCGTGTCAGCTTAATGTGGGAGGAAAGCCTGAAGTGATGCAGGTCTCAGGCATTTACCACTTCTGTGAAACCCATGAGCATGTGTATGGTGCTGACAAACCAAGAAACATTATCAGGGTGAACTGGTATTCGAACCCACAATCATAGGTTTCTGGCGTGCCTAAGGGATGCAACTCTGCACAGCAAATCGTGGCGCCTTAGACTACTGGGCCACCCATGCCCTCCTATATTGATAAGAAGGGATTTGATACATTAACGTTGATTATCCTGTGATTTGGAATGAAACTACCTGTCACTTCCAACCTCTTCATCTTCATAACTTTAGTAAGATATCTTTGTACAAAAATATACACCAATCCAAAATAATCTCCATTTTCCCGCAATCCAAACTGAAAACCTTTCCCTTGTTAATGCTTCCTGCACTTTGTAATTGAAATATGTAACGCAAGAAATTCAGTTGGTGTGGGCTGAAGCTGATTTTGAAAGCAATTAGGCTTCTGCTAATCAGCCGTGTTTCCCCGTACACCTGCCGGGCCTGTGAAGGTCTGGGTTACAAGGTCTGCAGTAGCCCGGCGGTGCTTGTCGTATTAGGCGACTAACGAGAGAGTAATCAGGGGTGCCAACTTGGTTGAGGCATGTCATTGTACCCTAATTGCATAGATCCATGTACATCCTGTCAATCACTGGACTGTCTTGTCCAGACACGGTTGTTTACACATCGCAGACATAATGCTAGAATATTGCTGAGTGTGGGGTTACACAAACAATGGACAAACACCTGCAGAGCTACTTGTTATGTTTGTACAGGAGTGGGGGAACAGATCCAGACTTCCAACTGTCATAATTCTGTTATTTTAACATAAACAGTTCACCACTGAAGATATCACAATCTATCCTAGTGAATACCGTTTAATGCTGCTGTTAGCAACAGTTCAGCTGTACCACTGCAGCCTGTAAACAAACGAACTGACCTGGACAAACCAGTGGTTGATATTATGAGCAACGTTTGACACACAATCATCAAGGCACCGTCTGACCATCCAATGTAGCTTCTCCACCACTTAAACAAGAACATGTGGTCTGGGATCAATTCTATCCCTGACTCGGTTTCAGCAAATGTAAACTCCTCAACATGCTGCAATTCGAAACACTGTGACATCACACGGCTTCAATTGACCAATTAGCATTGGGAATCGCTAAAATGCACATGTGCAACTATTTTATGGTAATATTCCTCATTGATCCATTTCATTAGTGTCACAAAATATCAAAATGCCCTCAACAGTTTTCGTCAAATGATTTATCTTTCTTTTGAATTAAAAATAAAACTTTTTTGAAATTATGATTGCATATCAAGTTTAAGGTTTTGTTTGTTTATTTGTTGTCTAACACCTAACACCTCACTCAGCAATAATCCAGCTATATGACAGTGGTCTGTAAATAATCAAATCTGGACAAGACAATCTAGTGACTGATATCATGAGCATAGATCCTCGCAATTGGGATACAATGACATGCATCAACCAAGTCAGCGAGCATGACCACCCAGTACAGTCGCCTTTCACGGCAAGCATCTGTTGCTGAAGACCTATTCTCCCCAGATTATGTGGCGTTACACAACAAACAACAAATCATCGAGTCCAATCTGCCTTCATTAAACAGGAAATGGCAAATATTGATATTGTTAGTCTTTCATCTCCTGCCCAACAAAGGGTGGAGACTGACAAAGTACCCTCTCCACAACACTACCCTGTATTAAGACAATGGTCCAACTGTTGCAATATTATACCAATACCATTTGTAACTACTGCTATAGTTGACATGCCTCTACTTTTCGTTGAGGTTCTAACTTATACATGGTTACCATCTTCTACATGCGTTATCAGCTAGAGTTCCCAGCCAGATACAACATCTACACTCTGATGGAGGCTACTTCAGGTTCTCCAGTCAGCTGGTTTATAATTGATGTAGGTCTTGTTGGTTTCCAGGTGATTGCTGTATCTCCAAATCAATCTCCTAGAGAGAGAGGCCTGCTCAACATATCTGAGATTCCTGGCTTGTTAAGATAACTATATCTCTCCTGTTGTGTTTATCCTTTCAGATGGGTTTTGCCATTTTATGATCCACCATCGAGGAACCCTAAGTGTGAAAGCCCTGAGTGGGAAGCCCTGACTTAATGGCTAGGAGAGGAGCAGATGTTGCACTCCATTCCGCCATTTTGTTGTAGTATTGAATTATTTCTGTGGGATCTGACATAATGTACATGTTGATTGATCATATTTGCGTTCCGCAGTCAAATAGGTCATCAATCTGCTGGTTATTGTCACATCATGAACACTGAGTCTCTCAACTGAAAATAGTTGATGAATTATTCTGGTTAAATAATCTTTGGATATTTGAAAGAAAACATTCCAATGAATCTCTTCCATTTGAAACTGAATAAATCTAGACTTGCCTAACTATTATTACAGACTTGCATAGGACTTTTAAATAAGTTTGTTTGAAGGCCTGTATGAGACAACAATGATCACAACATTCAACTTCAGGTTTCAGGCAGGAGTTCTTGTAGTGCAAACAGCAAGCAGAATTTATGTGAAATAAGAAACTCATTTGGAACATTTTCAGTTTTCATCAACCATTTAACAACTGAGGTACCATGGGTATAAATAGTCTACTAATAATCTTGGGGCGGTTGGGTAGCCTTGTGGTTAAAGCGTTCGCCCATCATGACAAAGACCCAGGGTTCGATTCACGACAAGGGAACAATGTATGAAGCCCATTTCTGGTGTCCCCAGCCATGATATTGCTGGAATATTGCTAACAGCGGCGTAAAACCATATTCACTCTCACTCACTCACTCACTCTCTTATAGCCTCATGGTTACATGGTACACCACATACAAAACTAGGACTTGACTTTGGTTGAGTCACATGGTACACCAAAGACTTGACCGCTTATAAAACCATGATTTGATAGTCACATGGTACACCAAAGACTTGACCGCTTGTAAAACCATGATTTGATAGTCACATGGTACACCAAAGACTTGACCGCTTATAAGAATATGATTTGATAGTCACATGGTACACCAAAGACTTGACCGCTTGTGAAACCATGATTTGATAGTCACATGGTACACCAAAGACTTGATCGCTTGTGAAACCATGATTTGATAGTCACATGGTACACCAAAGACTTGACCGCTTATAAGAATATGATTTGATAGTCACATGGTACACCAAAGACTTGACCGCTTGTGAAACCATGATTTGATAGTCACATGGTACACCAAAGACTTGATCGCTTGTGAAACCATGATTTGATAGTCACATGGTACACCAAAGACTTGACCGCTTGTGAAACCATGATTTGATAGTCACATGGTACACCAAAGACTTGACTCCTTGTGAAACCATGATTTGATAGTCACATGGTACACCAAAGACTTGACCGCTTGTTAAACCATGATTTGATAGTCACATGGTACACCAAAGACTTGACCCCTTGTGAAACCATGATTTGATAGTCACATGGTACACCAAAGACTTGACCGCTTGTGAAACCATGATTTGATAGTCACATGGTACACCAAAGACTTGACCGCTTGTTAAACCATGATTTGATAGTCACATGGTACACCAAAGACTTGACCGCTTGTGAAACCATGATTTGATAGTCACATGGTACACCAAAGACTTGACCCCTTGTGAAACCATGATTTGACTCTGCATGTAGTAACCAACACAACCCGTATAAACACAAGCTCTCCATGAGACAAGCATCTACAAACAAGCTGGCACCAGATCCCGGTATTTCCACAACATTGCACACAGACTCCAAACACTGAAACCTCAGTGCTGGAATATAGCATGTACAGCAATGTGTAGTACAGCATCACAAAGCTGGATAAGTCTGATGCTCTCCTGGCATACACCTCCTCGTGATCTACACTGTTTGTTTAAGAACATCAGTTGTTTTGACTATGTCCCCTGAGCCTCCTGGCTTAGTCCCGAGAGAAGCTGTATTGGTCCTGCATGCACAACGTGGCTTTCAGACCACGGAATCCAGAAGGGAAACTGGCAGCAGTAAATACTTGTTATTGTGGAATACAACATAAACGACATATCACAGGATATGTTTTCTATGTCTGTTCCAATGGTGACCTTTCTTCAAGGTCATGTATAGTCTGGTCAGCAATGAAGGCCAAACTATATTTTGTATGCAATCACTGGCCATCTGCCCTTTTCACATCATTAGGGACCCTGTTTTAGTTCATTTACTTATATTGAAAATTGTTTTTGCAATGTACAGCAAAATTTCATGTTTAAATCTGAATTGAGTGAGCAGCTAAAAGTGCCTATGTAAAATGCCAGACAACATGGAAAAATAGTTTTTGTCTTGAACGAGCATGAGAAATAGGGGTTGCACTTCATAATCTGCCAAAACATTATGCCTGTTGTGTTGACACTGACAATGATTCCAAATAACAAAGGGGAGAATGAATGTTGTTTTATGCAGTCTGCAACATTCCAGCTATATCACAGTGTATTGTAAATAATCACGTATGGGCCAGGAAAACTAGTGGTTGATAGCATGACCAACAATTCACTGTCAGGTCATGACGATACGTAACATATCGTCCATGTAATAACATTGTGATCACTTGTATGTAAACTTTTCCTAATGTTGAGACTGATCTTATGAGAGTGTTCTTATGTCATTTTACTCCAGTCAACAAACCCCATTAGGAACAGACACAAAGTAAAACTTGTTATTGTGGATCACACTTCTATACATGTGTGTCTAGTCCTCATGGTGACCTATGCTAAAGGTCATGAATATCCTGCTTGTCATCAGCTGGGTTGATACAGCAGCTGAATTTAAAGGTGAGGTTTCTGAAAAACTACAGATCTGGTCTCTAATAAACATTGAGGGCCTCTACTCTATTTTGTATGTCCTTCAATGAGAACCATAACCAGATCACATTGATCTCATAGAGCGACTCATACTCAAACAAACAGCCTTTATGCCTTAGGTGGCAGCATCAACAGGGCTGTATTTATAATCTGGCCAATCACCGTGACCTTCACCCCTTGTTGGGGCCATATTGGTAATGTGACCTTCACCCCTTGTTGGGGTCGTATTGGTAATGTGACCTTCACCCCTTGTTGGGGTCGTATTGGTAATGTGACCTTCACCCCTTGTTGGGGTCGTATCGGTAATGTGACCTTCACCCCTTGTTGGGGTCGTATTGGTAATGTGACCTTCACCCCTTGTTGGGGTCGTATTGGTAATGTGACCTTCACCCCTTGTTGGGGTCGTATCGGTAATGTGACCAATCAGTGTGTGACCTACCGGGTTGCTGGTGTTGATATCAGTACTTCCCTTCAGGTACTCCAAAACCTCGCTGAGGTTTCCATCCCGCGCTGCTCGAAGAAAGCCAGCGTTTCCGTCACTCTGAAACAACAAAGAGACCACCATCAGACATATACAAGACATAAAGCAGAACGCTATATATATCTAAGACCATATAAACATAAAGTAATTATCAGATTCTTAATCCCTGCAGCCTCTCATCAAACAACATTCAGTCGAGCCGCCCCTTAAGACTCATCTGTAACCTGCATGATCTGTTGTCAAGCTTGGCACGCAATGAAGCCAGGGCAAAAAGAATTCTAAAAAATGAATGCCATATAAAAAATGTGGATGAATATGTCACGTCATATTTTGTTGAGTCTGAACTTAAAAACAACATGAGACGACTTATTATTGTCAAAAGTGAGTGAGGAGTGAGTATTGTTTTAAGTCGCTTTTAGAAATTTACATGAAAATCACTTTAACCACTAGGCTACCCCACCACCCAATTGCCAAGAGCAGCCCAGAACCCATCACATGTCGTAATGATCGTTGGGTTCTGCTGTTAATCATGCTACAATCTAAAGCATCGCTGTGGAAGAATTTAATGCACCCCAGAAGATCATATTAGCATGCATCAGCATTATGCTGTATCAATTTGTTACGTGTAGTTCTTGTAACGACGTATATTAACCACATTTGCAAGTTTATTTTGAGCCAAGAAACATGTTATGACTGATATACCACATATCCCTAAATTGAGGCTGTATGCTACATTCCTGGCGTTCATTAGAGCCTGGTGTTACAGTGCTGCAATTAACACCTGTCACATCTGTTCAGGACAGGTATCTTACCAGCAGCAGCTAGTTCGTCTGTTTAACCATGCCAACATCACACAATGAAACCCGTATATCATCAGCTGTGTTTGCCTGAATACTGATACCAATGTCTCTTCATTTCATAAATAATGTATGAGGAGAGGTGAAATGAGGTTTGACATTACTTTCAAGTGAGTGAATGAGTATGGTTTTACGCCGCTTTTAGCAATATTCCAGAAAATGGGCTTCAATCATTGTACCCATGTTGGGAATCAAACCCGTCTCTTCAACATGATGAGCGACACTTTAACGACTAGGCTATCTGACCGAACCACAATCAAGATCCCTGCATTTATACCTGCCCCCCTCCGGGCAGACACTTGATCCAACTGACCACGTGTTTGTACACGGAAACCAACAACTGTCCATTTCACACAAACTGTATGTTGTACTCCAAATGATAAAATAACAAATCAATCAAGATATAAAGTTTCCATTATTATTATATAATTACATATATGAAAATCTTGTTTTCAATACCAACCTACTCCCAGAGATATTAATAGGCACAAATCCAACACAACATCTGCTTGTAACATATGCCACAATAAAACAATGGCTGACCCAGGTTGGACATTTTGTTAGCATCGACAAAGCACACGTTTCTAGATTCAATTTAATTTAATCAAATTTTGCACCCCGGGACGTGTTTAATACAATCCCCATCAGCAGGGACCGTGACACTCATTTCTTCATTCCTTGGTAGGTACAGGGCTATCTCCGCCTTGCATCAGGAACCTGTTCCCGTCACTTTGACATCCATCTCAGCCTACATCCTCGGTGTGTTATCAATAACTCCCTCGCAACAAACTGCCACAGGAACTGTGTGTTTATCTTTGGATTAAAACATATCAGGGGAATTTAAACTCTGCTATTTCCAATTTTTACCAGATTTATTTATTTGATATCAAGAGTGGGGATGGTATTATGATACTTTTAGCCAATTCCAGAAATAAGATTAACAAAGTCTATGAGATTGAACCTGCACCTGCACCTTTGGCCTGATGAGCCAATGCTTCAAGTAGGCTACCCACCATTTTGAATGACTGGTATAAAATAACATAAATCCATTAACTGGCAGCATTGAGGGCTAATCCTTCTTGCATGGCAATTATGGCACGAATGCTGGCAATATGCCACCATTTATATATCCAAGCTTAACTCAAACAGCACCAGGTGGATGTGAATGGTGAAATGATTATTAAATAATTATTAATCTGCCCAAATCTTATTTTTGATTGGTATTTTTTAACCTACCATGAATTATATTCTATTACTTAATTGTCGGATGTAGTTGTGTATTTCCACTATTGCAACTTGTCCCAGGTGCTTGTATGACACGCGGGACGATGACTTAAAGGATTCCCTGCCCTTGAGGTTTCTGCAACAGCATATTAGTCTAAGAACCCCTAAATCCTTTATTTGGGTTTTACAAGGAATTTGTGACTTTGATAATATCATTTGGAGGTGTGGCATGCTATGAGACGCTGTGAATGGATGGTATCCTGTTTCTAGTCAAGCTCATTACCGTGTGCAGTGAAGGGTTTGCCTATATCCTCACTCTATGGTGGAAGCACAGGGTGGCCACAAAGAATTTCCCTTGTAATTGTTTGTAAGATTATCTTACTTTTAATATTTTTTTTACTCAATAAACAAATCCTTATTGTGCTTTCCATGTCTGGAGGATATTTTATTCAGGAATGTCCGAGCAATAATTGGACAATGTGATGGTCACAAATTAAAAATATGGCGCCTAAACTTAGCAAAATCAATTTATTTTGGAAGTTTTGGTGACAGGAAAACATGATTTTTTTTGTCTGGTATCAAATTTGTCATGTTTCATATTTCAGAAATATATCTGCTGCTCACAGAAATAGTTGAAGCTCATGACCTGAGCTCTACCTGAGAGTCCGGCCACCCTATATCTGGAGGCCAGCAATCTCTACCTAAGTACTGACCACCAATTCTACCTTAGAGTACGGCCACCCATCTCTACCTGAGAGTCCGGCAACCCATCTCTACCTGAGAGTCCGGCCACCCATCTCTACCTGAGAGTCCGGCAACCCATCTCTACCTGAGAGTCCGGCCACCCATCTCTACCTGAGAGTCCGGCCACCCATCTCTACCTGAGAGTCCGGCCACCCCACCCATCTCTACCTGAGAGTCCGGCCACCCCACCCATCTCTACCTGAGAGTCCGGCCACCCATCTCTACCTGAGAGTCCGGCCACCCATCTCTACCTGAGAGTCCGGCCACCTATCTCTACCTGAGAGTCCGGCAACCCATCTCTACCTGAGAGTCCGGCCACCCATCTCTACCTGAGAGTCCGGCCACCCCACCCATCTCTACCTGAGAGTCCGGCCACCCCACCCATCTCTACCTGAGAGTCCGGCCACACCACCCATCTCTACCTGAGAGTCCGGCCACCCATCTCTACCTGAGAGTCCGGCCACCCTGTACCTGGAGACCACCCATCTCTACCTGAGAGTCCGGCCACCCATCTCTACCTGAGAGCTCGGCCACCCATCTCAACGTGAGAGTCCGGCCACCCTGTACCTGGAGACCACCCATCTCTACCTGAGAGTCCGGCCACCCATCTCTACCTGAGAGTCCGGCCACCCATCTCTACCTGAGAGTCCGGCCACCCATCTCTACCTGAGAGTCCGGCCACCCATCTCTACCTGAGAGTCCAGCAACCCATCTCTACCTGAGAGTCCGGCCACCCTGTACCTGGAGGCCATCTGTCTGGAAGCCATCTGCTCATAAGGTCACGGTTATCAGAGCCACGAGATAAACACTGTATCACAGTCATCTCACACCATCCCCCTTGCAGAGACATTGTAAGAACTTGGCAGAGAAAACAAACCTTGTGCACTGTGAAACAGATGTAACCAATGAAATCCCTGCTCTAAACATCAAGTCTGCAATCACCTGAAATACATTCACCCCGACGCTTGCCAAACAGGTTATGAGAAAGCCTTTCAAATCTCTCCACTGAGCATCCCACTATCAAATCCAATCCATAATCTCCCACCTGACAAATAAACTAAAACAGATTCATGGCATCATTTAGTCTCATTGGGACTTACCCAAGATATCCACTTCTTCAACATCTTGTTAAAACTTAAAAGCACTCAGTGTGAGAATTCTTGAAAAAAATTCATCAACAGTCGAGCGAGCGTATAGCGTCCGAGCTCTTCAGCATAAAGTATGAGTCGGTACTCCAACAGAATTACGAGAGTTCACAGCGCCTGTAGGTGTATATTAACCGACCTCAGATGTCCTGCTGTACGGTACATCCCCCTTGTTACTTCCTACAACATGGCTGGCTGATGGTGATGGCTAGCTCCTGGAAGCCCCGTACCACCTTCATCATTGCAGCCAAACTGGAAGCAAAAATAGCAACAGCGTCCTTGTCTCCCACTAGTGTTGGTGGAGTGCTCCTGACACTATAGTCCTACAATCACGGCTCTCCCCTCATCCACCTCGCCTGCAGCACATCTGCTAAACTCGGCTACCTTGTCCATAGTACGCATACTTGCAAGTTGAAATGGCATGAGATGGTATGGATGTTGATTTGGTCAAGATGTCCACAAGACGCGTCTGAGAGAGCCGATGTGTTGTCTTTGACGGTTAGAGTTTTGTCTGAATTGTGAAATGTTGTTATATTTTGGGAGTTTTGTTTTTGCTAGGTAGGGAATTTGGAGTGTTGTCTGTGCGAGACATTTAGATAAGACAGCACATGTACAGATATGCAGGGGGTTTGATATTACATGTGGGAATTTGCTTGCAGAGGAGATACATGCCTCTAATTTGGATTTATCATCGAGGAATCTACAACTGTGCACTACTTCGGCAATTATAATCCAATCTTCCTCCTTACTAAGCGAACATCTGTTTGTATATGTGTACCACTATCACACCTTCTAAAGTATGTGCAAGAGTATGGTGTGTATGAGTATCTTGTGTGTGTGTATATGTTGTGTGTCTGTATGTTGCGTGTGAGTATGTTGTGTGTGTGAGTATGTTGTGTGTCTGTATGTTGTGTGTGAGTATGTCGTGTGTGAGTATGTCGTGTGTGTGTATATGTTGTGTATGAGTATCTTGTGTGTGTGTATATGTTGTGAGTATGTTGTGTGTGAGTATGTCGTGTGTGTGTATATGTTGTGTGTGAGTATGTTGTGTGTGAGTATCTTGTGTGTGTGTATATGTTGTGTATGAGTATCTTGTGTGTGTGTATATGTTGTGTATGAGTATCTTGTGTGTCTGTATGTTGTGTGTGAGTATGTCGTGTGTGCGTGTTGTGTATGTTGTGTATCTTGTGTGTATGTTGTGTGAATGGTGTGTCAGAATGTTGTATGGTGTGTATAAGTATGTTGTGTGAGAGTTTGTTGTGAGTATTTTGTGTGAGAATGCTGTTAGTATGCTATGAGTGAACACACTGTGTGTGAGTATACTGTGTGAGTATGCTGTGTGTAAGTATGCTGTGAGTACGCTGTGTGTGAGTATGCTGTGTGAGTACGCTGTGTGTGAGTATGCTGTGTGTGAGTATTCTGTGTGAGTATGCTGTGTGAGTATGATGTGTGTGAGAACGCTGTGTGTGAGTATGCTGTGTGTGATTACGCTGTGTGAGTACGCTGTGTGTGAGTACGCTGTGTGTGAGTATGCTGTGTGTGAGTACGCTGTGTGTGAGTATGCTGTGTGTGAGTATGCTGTGTGTGAGTACGCTGTGTGTGAGTATGCTGTGTGTGAGTATGCTGTGTGTGAGAACGCTGTGTGTGAGTATGCTGTGTGTGAGAACGCTGAGTGTGAGTATGTTATGTGAGTACACTGTGTGTGAATGCTGTATGTTGTGTGTTGTGTGAGTATGTGGTGTTTTGTGTGAGACTGTCAGCACCTTGTATATAAGTGTGAGCATAAACTACATGTGTGACTGAACACATTGCTTCCCACATTTGTGCTTCTACATGTCTTAATGTGTTTCACGACAACCATGTTGAATATTTATTAGTGATCATAACTGCTTGTATGTAACTAAACACACCTTTTTATAAGTGTGAGTTGCATACCTGCATGCATGTCTACACATGTCTTTGCTTACTGTTAAGAATGCAACCTTTCACTGAACATCACGCCTTCACCAGACACAACCCACAAATACTATTAACCGATCACACCATCAACAGCAATTTAAATTCAATTTCCCAGCGTTTCCTAGGAAACACCTCAAGCCACGCCATACCTCCACAACAAGATCTGCCGACACTTGCACCACACAGCATGGTGATAGCAGCCAGATACCGGCAATCAATAGTATCCTGTCAACAAGGCCTCCATGACTCCCACCATCATGTCAACAGCAACTGTTTTTGTTATTACTTAAATGTCCCATGCATAAATGCGTCACCACTCACCAGTGCCATGTGTGTTGATTTCTTTCAGACTTTTCTGCCAATTTACTCAAAGTTACTTCTCAAATAGTTATCAATAATTGATCGATATTTAGTTATATTTCAGATGTGTGGGTATGGTGGTGAATAACAGAAGATTCATTGGCTGGGCTAATCTGTGATTCGAACCAACAAGCCTCAGATTATGGCATTCATGCTCCTTTGAAACAAATCAGTAAAAGATACTAAAATGGCAATGAATTCTGGGTATTCATCACCAGATCTGGTCTTCATTATTTGACCTGGTATTCATCACCAGACCTGGTATTCATCATCAGATCTGGTATTCATCAACAGACCTGGTATTCATCAACAGACCTGGTATGCATCATCAGACCTGGTATTCATCAACAGACCTGGTATTCATCAACAGACCTGGTATTCATCAACAGACCTGGTATTTATCAACAGACCTGGTATTCATCATCAGACCTGGTTTTCATCATCAGACCTGGTATTCATCACCAGACCTGGTTTTTATCAACAGACCTGGTATTCATCAACAGACCTGGTATTCATCATTATCATCTTTGATTTCTTGAACAGAATCCAAACATGGAAGCAACTAATTTAAGATTACGATGACACCAGGTCTTCGCTATGCCGGTGTCCTGCCGTGACAGCAGCACCTGTGAACTAGCATCAAGGACTCCACAGTTTGCTCAGTGTTCACAGATCTCGGTTTTTAGTGACAGTGCCTATCCTGTTTATTGTAAACTTCCTTCAAAACACAGTGCACTTATTGTAACTGAAAACCCGCCATGTAATTCCCCTTCAACAGTAGACTCGAATTGTACATGTAATATGTCAGACATTTGATGACTCAGAAATGTATTAAAGATTAGTGCCACCTGGTGGGACAACACAATGCACCTTGCATGGCCGGCCAGAATACAACTGTGACAGATCTCAGGTGAGGTGAGGTGAAATTAGGTTTAACGTCACGTTCAAGATTATTGCACTCATATAGCGACGTGCATGCACGTGTGTGTGTGGCTGCTTGTACTAGTCTGGACTGATGCCGATTTATAGTGCTAGCTCACTGAGATACCATGCCACAGTTTAACATGAACACCCCACTCAGACACAGTTTACGACTCCAAGTCGACCAGTCCTTGTTTTAGCCCCTTAACGCCAAGCGCCAGGCAGGGTAACAACAAATCCCATTTTTAAATGTCTTTTGGTATGACACGGCCTGGGATCGAACCCTGGACCTACGGTCTCCGGGCAGTGGCTCTACCACTAGACCACAGAGGCGGTCGGCAGATCTCAGAGTTGCGTTCCTGTCATCAGATGAATCTTCCTTTCTAGCATCTATTTCAAAGTAACAGCTTTGATAAAAGATGACCTTGGAAAGTATTAGAGGATGAAGCATAAATTAGAAAAAGAAAATGTTTGAATCATGAACAATCTGCTACACTCAGGGAAAGGATGTATTGTTGTTATTATTACACAAATATTAATCATTGTTTCATTGCATAGTTGTTTGTTAATTATTTAAATTTCCCTTCTCATTGAGAATGTGGTCAAATGTAATATTTGGGATATAACACTTTCTTAAGAAAGTACAGAATCTAGTATTAGAAAGTGCTATCCAAAATAAAACATTTGTTATACAACATAGCGCCAAAAACCAGACACATGCTAAAAACTGACCCACAAAGGGAAACTCATAAATAATTCAGGTAACTTGTCCCACAAAATTTCTGACATTCGAAAATATCCAAATAACCACCTTCAATTTAATACAACCCTCAAACCTCCACAGTGTCCTGAATTTTTTATTTGCACCCTACAATGTCTTACGCGGTGTATAAAAGCCGTTATTGTCCTCTCACCAGGATGCTAATTCAATCCTGTAGATATCATCCTAAGCAGACAAGGAGCGACAGAGACACACAGACACATCCCTGGGGATGTTCCGCAAGGACGGAAATCCAATACAGTAATTTCCCAAAGCCATCGGTGTGTGGCAGCGATGTGTCTGGGAGTGCGCCATGCAGCTTGTGGTCCACAGGTGTGAGGGCAATGTTTTATTCACCACTATTGATTCTGCCATCAATAATGCACATTTCAGATACAACAGGCGAATCTGACATCACCCAGCAATGTCATGTATAGCACGGTACAGGACCTGTTAGCGTGATGACCTGCTTGTACGCATGGTGGCAGCTTGGGCTATGGCCATTGTTACATGGCTTATGGCAAATTATGCCGGTAAAATGAACAGTTAGTGCAGGAACAAGATGACAATAATTGAATTATGTTTGCTAATATTTTAGTTTTTTAGTTTTTTAATTTATTTTTTTTGGAGGGGTATTTTTTAAATTTGGTTTTGAAGGACTGTCCTGACATCTTAAAATTGATGCACCTAAGTGAGCTAAATGATATTTATGGTTTGGTTTGTTAACTATACATGTATAACACTTAAAAGGAGTTAAAGAACATCCAATTATTTCCTATGACTATAGACAATCATGGCCATGTCTAAAGCCCATCGGTGATGTTTGATGCCTACTTGCAGCTGAATTTCAACCCCTGCACAGGTCCCGACAAATCCATGGTATGAGTAACAAATCTTGTTAAAACAATTTAGTTTACTGCGCGTAAAACTGTGTTCAAGAATTACTTGCAGTCTTCTAAGTAGGGACCATTTTAGTGGCCAACTGCAATTCAAATCTGTGATTGGCGACCTAAATGTATCTACTGCTTGCCACTTGGCTACCTGACAGTAAATACAACTGGTCACATTTTTTTTTGGACATTTCTGTCGGCTCCTAAAAACTTGACTTGGCAATTATATAGTAAGTGAACCTGTTCCAAACAGAATACCTATAGTCATCAGGTGATGGAGAACAGCTGACTTGATTTCCTGGCTGCAGTTACTATTTGCTGTACTAGATTGTAAGTGAGTAACTATGGTTTAATGCCACTTTTAGCAATATTCCAGCTACATCAAAGCAGGGTACACCAGAAATGAGCTTCACACATTGTACCCATGTGGGGAATCGAACCCGGGTCTTCAGCGTGACGAGCAAACACTTCACCATTGGGCTACCCCACCACCCCCAGAATGTCAACTTGATCCCAAATCCCTATAATCATCTATAATATTATCCT